GCCTTGTCGGAGGAGCCCGGGCCCTGGACTCCGAGTCGCTTGAAGCGACGTCGATCGGAACGAAGTTCGGATCCGACTTGAGGCGGCGGCGGTGTCTTTGCCGACGGCGTCTGTGACGGGGAGCTTTGCTGCCCACGTCTAGGGATGTCGTCGCTACGACATCCGAGGCACTCGTGGCCTCGTGTGATACTGTTGTACCCACACAGGAAGCGTGTTCAACGCCTTCCTCTTCAGTTAGGGTCTGGGCGACCGCGTGTGGCACTGTGTTACCCACACAAGAAGCGTGTTCAACGCCTTCCTCTTCAGTTAAGGTCTGGGCGACCGCGTGTGGCACTGTGTTACCCACACAGGAAGCGTATCCGACGTCTTTTTCTTCAGTTAAGGTCTGGGCGACCGTGAGTGGAACTCTGTTACCCACTCTGAACACGCTGTTCTCAGTGTTCATGACAGCTGCAGCTGTCTGCGGAACTAAGTTACCCGCCTGTGGATCTAAGTTACCCACTTGGCCAGCGCCTCCTTTGGGCGCTGCCACCATCAAAACAGCCTCAGAGTCGTCATATACGTCGACGACTCTCAAGCATCTGCCGGATGCTTTAATACCCCGGCAATCCTTGCGGCTGACCCGGGTCCTGACAAAGGTGGGAACATGACTCACCAATGCTCTGTCGGACTGCGCAGGGCGGCTGGTACCGATTGCCTTGCCTCGCCAGTTGATCCAGGGCTCGTGCTTCTCAAGCCAGGGCATACCCAGGATCATACCATATATGGATCCATGTCAAGAACAGTGAACTGGCTGTCAAAGTCTTCAAACTTGAAGGCCAGATCCACTGGGACGTTAGGGACAGTGACGGCCTTCCCGTCGGCCAGTCGCACTGACACCGTCCCGTTGCCCTTGCTTTCTCTCAAAGCATCGGACAACTTGTTGCTATTACGAGTAGCCGTCTGGCGCGTGCAAAATTCTTCGACGCCCCAGAACCGATCAAGATTCTAAAGGGATGATCGTGTCCCCTTACACATCCGTGTACTACGAGCAACCCACCGCTGCTCTTCGCCGATTCGATAGTGCGAAGACTCTCAGGGGCTAAGTCCCCGTGGTACGCGCCACCCGCGCACCCATCACGAAGACTTAGTTCTTCCCCAGTAGGGCGCCCCGCCCCTACTGGTTCCCTGCGTTCCCCTGTCCCCGGGATCCTGGCTTCTGCCAGCGACCCTTGAGGACGGGCTTGGGGAAGGACCGTCTGCGGAGTCTTTCCGCGGGACAGTCGCGCTTGAAGTGGTCCGTCGTTTTGCAGCCGAAGTAGCGGATGTCACGCTGTTCGGCGGACCCGAGCTCCATGGGAACTGGTCCGTTAGGGCTTGTTCGACCGGGAGCCGACAAGGAGCTCCCAGGCCACGCTGAGGCCGGCGTACGCGCCTGGCGATGGCTGTACTCTTTCTAAAGAGACAATTGAATCGCCTCTTCCAGAATGCTTGACTGCACCCGGAACAGCTGAGTGCGCGATGGGCCCACGGGAAGGCCGTCCATGAACACTGTCATCTTGATGTGTTCGTTAAGTGGGTTTCCCACTAAGGGCGCCGTGAGCTCCCGTATTTCTTGGACGTACTCATGCAGCTGACGCCTTCCTTGCTTGCACGAGAGGAAGCGCGAGCGCTGGCGGTACTCGTAGTTCGCCGGGAGGAACGCGGCTCGGAGCTGTTCGCACAGCTGAGCCCAGGATGTGAAATATCCAGGGGATGTTGCTTCCCGAGTGTACACCCAACTCTTAGCACGACCGCTAAGGTTGGAGAGTGCAAAAGCAACACGCAGTTGCTCGGTCGAGATCAGAGCCGCGTCCATCGCGAGCTCTACTTCTCGGACCCAGAAGTTAAGGTTCTCGCCTTCCTTCCCTTCATACGGCTTTACCTTCAGCCGTATTGGCTTCGGGTGAGGCGGATTTGCTTCCGCCGCCGGAGCCTGCAGGCTCTCCCGCACATGCGCGATGAGGCCCTGCTCGTACGCGTCGAATGCATTGACGCGCTCGAGCTGCTCAGCCGGTGTTGACACCACCAGGCTCTGCAGGGCCTCCATCCCGAAGATGCCTGCCATCTTCCGAACCGACTCGAACTGAGAGTCGTTCAAATGGGAGAAGTCGTTCCTATCCGTGGCAACGAACTTCGGAGGTTCAGGTAGTCTACCCGCGATGGCGTGGATTGACTACAAGTGCTACCAAGTGTGACGGGGTCACACAGCACCTTGCGCAAGAGGAAGTTATCTTCCGAGAGTATACAAACTCTCAGTGAACGGCAGTTCACAGGTCCCCTCTTTTATTAAAGAGAGCGAAGTGACCCAAATAAGGTAGATTGTAAACTGAGTATATTTATAGGTAGATTAAGTTTGGGTTTAATACAAACTCTTAGTTACCTATAGAAATGCAATGTCATTTAACCAATGGTTGGCTTTGAACGACCTTGGTACCTTGTACCAACTATATCGGAGTATGACGTGTCATACTCCTGAAGTGTGAAGTGTCACACTTCATGTAACCAGGGTACACTTAGGGCTACGTACTCCGTTACACTACCCGCGGTGGCGTCGATCGACTACGAGTGCTACCAAGTATGACGGGATCACACAGCACCTTGCGCTAGAGGAAGTTGGCTTCCGAGAATACAAAGTCTCAGTGAACGGCAGCTAACAGGTATCCATTTACCGAAAGGGAGCGTAATGACCAATTTAGGGTAGAATGTTTTTCCTATAGATAGATAAAGCTTGGGTTAAATACAAACTATAAGTCACCTATACAAAGCAATGTCATCAGCCAATGGTTGGTCTTGGACGACCTTGGTACCTTGTACCAAAACGATGAAGTCGACGTCGACATGTAGCGCAACTCAGCGATGGTCGCTTCCGAGTGGAGCAACTCAACCGATGTTCCGACGAAGCGTAATCATTTGTGGGGCACCGGATTTTTTGCCTGTTGGATTCGAAATCGAAGTCCGTTTTGCCGCTTGGTACCGTAACCATGGATGGTTTGTCGACACCTCAATCGCTCGGCTCGAAGGCTTCGCGTCAAGGCATCCTGTGAGAGCAGCCTACGGAAGATGAAGTATTTCCAACCGGGCGATATTGAGCAGCGTCCAGCATACCGAGCGAGTGTCGAATAGCGCTTTTCGTTCGAACTTAGGACACGGTATCACATGTGCCCAGAGAAGAGGAGTCAAGCGCGATAGACAAACAATCTCAATGGGCTTGCTTCAGATTACTCCACTTCCCCCGTCGAAGCGTTCGCCACAATCGCTCTGCTCGGCAGCACGGCCAGCTGGTTACGAGGCTCATCGCGGTTTGTGCGAAATCCACACTGTGAACATGCTTGCTGGAAGCCTTGCGCATCGAGTGTTCATCCGTGTACGCACGGGTGTCTCCATAATGGAGTTACATACTCCATTGGAGTCCATTGGACAGCGCATTTTGGTGGGTAAAGCGGCCATCTCACAAGCTGCAGCAATTCGTGCGGTGCTTCACGCGGTGCAGTGCCAGATGCTGCCTCGAGCCGAAGGATGAATGACAGTCGTTCAGCTTGCAGAGAAAGTCCAAGCTTACGCTCCTCCTTCGACATGTCGCGCTTGGAAAAACACGAAAAACGTCATCATGCCTTTTGGGTTTTGAGGACCAAGGGCTCAGTCCGATGATGACCTCTTTCATAGAGGCACCGAAAGCTGTGAGCCTTCATGAATCATGACATGATGGTACATGTATGCTTATGTACTATGGAAACAAGGGCGTTAACACCAAGCGTTGTGACAGGGTCGACCCTTCAATTTGGGCTCAAACTTGGCGTGGAACAATCTGGACCACTAGCGACGTAATCGAGGCCGAAAGAAATGAATCGTCCGTGTTAAAAGACGGTGCAACCAACGGATCGTCTTTTTTGAATATTCCACATTTGGAAGAAAATGGCACCTAGAAAATGGTCGACAATAATCTCGATCGTGGCGTGGTATAAGTGTTTGTGGACCATTGCCCTCCATAGTACCATTGAAGTCCTCGTAGTAGCGGAGTACCTCATCAACGTCTAAAATCTAGGCTAATCAAACTCAGAGATCTACTTACAACCCACAGTTGTTTCGATACATGTAGCAGCTTGGCATTTTTTGGGTAAATAGTCTACATGGATACGCTTGTAAAAAAGCTTTCTGGTAAGCAAGCTTATGACAAACAAAATGACTGTCCAGCGCTCCGGTATACAGACAACCGGTACGGTTGACACAGTCTTGATGCTCCCTCGTACATTTAGTACACTTTCGGATACTAGTATAATGATCGTGTTTTCCGAAGACCCACATTTTGACTTTAGACGCAAAACCTGTATGGTCAGCTCTCGCGAAAGCGCTGTGCTGTACTGTACCGGTATCCGTTTTTTTTATTTTGCAAAACTGCCACAAAATGCAAAAATGCCGGTGGGACAACGGGCAACTCCGCCAGTCGACTGTGGTGCCGCCAACCTGATGAGTGAGGCCTGCTTCCAAACGTTCATACTTCGAAGTGCAAGGATTGCTACAAATGCAGGCTACGGGAACAAGAGCTAAAGCCTTGTTCCACTGGGCTTTCAGTCGACAAAGCCTACATTAGAGTGCAGCTAAATAAATGACTGGGGCTTCCAGCCCAGCGAGCTGGTCAAAATTGAATCGCTCTCAGCGGTCACTCCACACCATGTGGCGTAGGGCGAGCCGTCATACACGAGCTCTCACGGTACTGTACGGTACATGTACTCTGGACCCCACTCTTTTTAAGTCCAGCTCGTAATCGTAGTGGTGTCGCAATGGCTTGTCATTCGAACCAATACAAACTGCAAGACATTGGAGACGGTAATTGGTTCGAAGTGGCGCAATCATTGCTTTTTTGTTTTCGCGAAGCTGGAGGCACATCGATTACGGCCGGAGGGTGTGCCTTACGATCACTGTTCATTTCAGAATTTGCCTTCAGAGAGCGAAGTGGCTTACTGGCGACCGTTAAAGCAACAATGACCACCTCCCAGGCCTCCTACGCCGGACCCATGACCGGTTCACAACCCTTCCTGGCTCCTGCGTTTGTAGCCCCTCGCAGCCAGCAGTCGCTGTCGGACTACCCACCGCTTGCGCTTTTTGCAGCGGCCGAGCAGGCCCAGCAGCAGGAGCTTCAGCAACAGCAAGCGGTTATGGCTATGACCCAATCACGAGTGCGGTCGGCATTCCAGCAGCAACCCATCGCGTCCCCACTCAACCTCAGCATCAACCCGAAGCTGCCATCGCTCGAAGGCCTACTGAAGCAGATGCAGACTACCTCGCCCACTGCGTCTTCCGCATCTTCGCCGCAGCAACCACGCCTCAGTCCAATGTCGACGCCTATGCCCTCGTTTAGGCCCATGATCAGCCCCAACATGGCCAAGCGCGCGCTGCCACAGGCACCACTCCCCGGTGTGGCTGCCTTTGCCCCTCAGCAGATTAGTTTATCCATGGGTCCAAGTTTCCCCGGCAAGAAGCGCTCGTGGGCTGACGCTACCCCGGCGCAGCAGATGATGTACCCAACTAAGCCCCGATCGTCGCCCAGCAGCAGCCACACCACACACCGCAGCCGAGCTTCCAAGTATTGCAAGATTGAGGGCTGCGAACGTGTCTCGCAGCGTAACAATTTATGCCACAGTCATGGCGGTAAGCGTCTCTGCAAAGAGGAGGGCTGTTCGTCTAAGGACCGCGGCAACGGCTTTTGCATCAAACATGGTGGCGGTAAGATCTGCTCCATGGGTGGCTGTGAGAAGAAGGCTCGTAGGAAAGGTCTGTGCACGCAGCACTTCCGCATTGCAGATGAGCACAACGCGGAGACCGTAATGGCATCTCCGTACATGGCTGGGCACAGTGCGTTCCGGTCTGTCTAAACGGAGGCGCGTGTGTCCTCCTTATCGTTAGTCAAGTAGGTCTAAGTATTAAGTTTCTCGTGTGAGATAGGTGAGGTGCTGGTAATCCCCGATCATTTACAGAGGTTTACCTGTTTCAGTGTTGTTTTCAGTTTCTTGCAAATGTAGTCAATACATGTACAGCGCAGTGCCGAGTCGGCACAAGGTCCTGGAGTGGACTGCGGTAGCAACATGCTCAACGACGCGGGCGGATTGTAATGCTCGCCACTCACTTCATTTATTGCGTCACTGGCTGCTCGGTAGCTACAGGCTATCCGTCCGGTAGGCTGGCGACAAAATTCAGCCTCTTCTAGCTAGATGTAGCCCATAACTAGCCGAGTGCTCCGACAAATGAGTGCGACAAGTGCCTGCAATTATGGATACAGAACCATTGCACCGAGCACTAGTAGCATGCCTGTCCGTGATCATGCACGGCCAGTGGTGACCTGTGAGGCACATAATCGAGCAAAGTTGCGCAAGACTACGTAATCAAAATGGCATTTAAGTGCAACTTATTATTTCCTTGCAAAACTATTCGTAGAAAAGTGAAAGCTCTTGATTAAAGCCAATAGAATACCTCTATTTGAATGAATTGCATTTTTAGTGGGCCCTCGGAAGTTGACGAAAAGATCACGCGGACACGTTTTTCTCTGTCGGCGGATAGTCAATCATGTAAGCAAAAATTTTCATACTGTAGCTCTGTCGCTTCCTACTTAGCTAGCAGAAGTGCACGTAGTGAGTTTCATGTTTATAATTAAATTGCCTTGCCTGCCACAGTGTGGCAGCCACACTATATGTACAAGCACTGTACAGTACAGTAGTTGCGTTTCCGAAGGTCGGAGAAAGATTTCCTAATATCAAAGCACGTTGAACCTCGATTTGCATTGCCCCGGCGTCCAATCAGCGGTTTTAGCCGATTTACAGCCAATCTATTCCAGTAAAAACAAATTGTAGGGTGAGCATGGCGCATAATCTGTTCCACAAAATATAGTATTTTCGATAAAACGCTGTATTTTATTCTAAATAGCCAGAATTATCCTAACTTTAAGTGATTTGTGCTGCTTGGAGGTCATCTGTTGATGCAAACAGTGGTGAGCCCGCTATGCTTGGGGGCGTCCAGTTTTGCAAATGCTCTCGCAGCTTAAACGCAGATTCACCCTGGGACGACGTTGTCAGACCGAAGAAGAAGACCACTCGAGGATCACCATGAGCCTTTCCAACAGCAACAGTACCAGCTCCTTGCCCCCTGTGGACGAGCACCACGGCTGTGAGTACCTGGATACGGCGCTGACGATCTTTGTAATCGGCGCGTCGGGCGATCTGGCCAAGAAGAAGACGTATCCGTCGCTCTTTGCGCTCTACACCATGGGCTACCTGCCTGAACACGCGGTCATCGTGGGCTACGCTCGCAGCGCCAAGAATGATGCCGACTTCCGCGCGCAAATTGCGCCCTGGATCAAGCCTAAGACACCCGAGGCCGAGGCTCGCAAGGAGGCCTTCCTCAACAAGTGCATCTACCGCAGCGGCAAATACGACTCAACTGAAGATGTGGGCAAGGTAAGCAAGGAGATGGAGGCATTGGAAGAAGCCCATGGATCGCCTGTGGCCAACCGCCTCTTCTACTTCGCCATCCCGCCCACAGTCTTCGTGCCCATCGGCACGAGCATCAAGAAGGCGGCACTGACCACGCGTGGTTGGAACCGTCTCATCGTCGAGAAGCCATTTGGCCACGATCTCGACTCGTTCGACAAGTTGTCTCAGGACATGGGCGCGCTGTACAGCGAAGACGAGATCTACCGTATCGATCACTACTTGGGCAAGGAAATGGTGCAGAACTTGCTCGTGTTGCGCTTCGGCAATGCAATCTTCGAGCCCATTTGGAACCGCAACTACGTGTCCAGTGTGACCATCACTTTCAAGGAAGACATCGGCACTCAGGGCCGCGGTGGCTACTTCGACTCGTTCGGTATCATCCGTGACGTCATGCAGAACCACCTGCTTCAGGTGCTGTCACTTGTGGCCATGGAGCCACCAATCCAAGCTGCTGGTGACAACTACTCCAACTATATCCGTGATGAGAAGGTCAAGGTGCTTAACTGCATTGAGCCTATCAAGATCGAGAACACCGTCCTGGGCCAGTATGAAGGCAGCAAGGAGCTCAACGAGCCGGGCTACCTCGAGGACCCGACGGTGCCCAAGGGATCAGTGACCCCCACCTTCGCCACAGCTGTTATGTATGTCAACAACCCGCGTTGGTCTGGTGTTCCGTTCATCATGAAGGCTGGTAAGGCCTTGAACGAACGCAAGGGTGAGATCCGTGTGCAATTCCGCCCGCCTCCTGGAGCGCAGCACTTGTTCCCAGGTGTCAAGATCCCAGTACAAGAGTTGGTGCTGCGTCTACAGCCGGAGGAAGCCGTCTACTTGAAGATGAACGTCAAGAGTCCTGGTCTGCAGACCCAGGCGATCTCAAGCGAGCTGGACTTGTCGTACGCCGAGCGTTACGAGGGTGCAGAGGTGCCGGACGCCTACACTCGCTTGATCCTGGACGTGCTGCGTGGTAAGCAGGCCGCATTCGTGCGTGATGACGAGCTCCGTGCTGCATGGAAGATCTTCACGCCATTGCTGAACGAGATTGAGACGCAGAAGGTGAAGCCGCTGCAGTATACGTTCGGCTCGCGTGGCCCCAAGGAGAGCGACGAGCTGGTGAACAGAGCTGGCTTCCAGTACCACCAGGGCGAATACCAGTGGCAGCCGCGTGTGCGCACTACCAGTGCACTATAGGTTGTCTCTTTGGTTGAGCACAAAGATGCCCGGAAGTCTGGCATAAATATGATGGTTGAGCCAGCTAGTCTTCAATAAGGGAAATATTAGTTGAAATCGCTCCATAAACCAAAACACGTTTTAATAATGTCATGCCTTGTAACTACCATGAAGTCATGCCACAAGATATGGCTACCTGCTAAAATGCTAATTTAGTCCAAATTGATCATATCTATTTTTAAACGCTCAAACAAGACTATAAATGACAGCTAGACGTCGCCCTGCCAACCGCAGAGGTCGTCGCTCCGCTGAGCACCTTAAGCTCTCTAGCCCGCATTTGCTCAGTCCGCGCTCTGGAACTGATACTCCGTCATCGACTTCGAGTCTCGATATGCCGGGATTTTCGTCCACCCCGCGCGAGGAGCTTCCACAGAAGTCACAGGAAGCTATCAAACGTGAGGACGAGGCCACGACTGCTGTTGCCGCTGCCATCGAGTCTGTCGTACTCAAAATGGAAACGGGGGACGCCAGTGACACGTCCACCACCACGTCATGCTCCTCGGATGGAGAGACGACGGCCATGCTGAAGCACGCGCAGAAACTCCAACTCAAGAAGATGCAGCGGATCCAAGAAAGCCCGGAGGAAACATCGTATGTACCTCAGGAGCCACGTCGTAGTAGACGCAAACGACGCACAGTAGACGTGCTAAGTCCGTCACAGCAAGTGTCATCGGGGCAAAAGTCTCCGCACAAGCGGCGGAATGTCGAAAAGAGCAAAGTGGCAGAACTCTTGAACGCTCGTCCAGCTGTGGCAGCGACTGCTGCTGCACGTGCCGAGGCTGCATTGAAGGATAGGAAGCGCAAACAGGCAGCAGCTAAGAAACGTGCTGCTGCCAATACAAAGAGCGCGACACCCGAGGGCGTTTTGTCGCCTGTTCAGGACGAGAAGAAGAAGACGCCGAAGAAGAAGCGAAGTCGCAAAGCGCGACGATCATTGGAATCCGCGTACTCGTTTGACACTCAGACAGAGTATGTGTCGAAGCTCATTGCTGAGCTCTATGAAGAGCAGGAACAAGACGATCGAGAGATGTACAGCATCACCAGGGAGACGGTTCTCACGGAGACGAGCGAGTGTGCGCAATCTCAAGAAGTTAAGGAGCTGAGCTTAGAGGAATTTCGACGACTGATGACATACGGTGAAGTGTCAGTTGAGTCCATCGCCTCCACGGTCCTGCCATTGTTTAATTTGGACGCGGACGACGTGTTCTTTGATCTTGGCTGTGGCACGGGAAAGATCTTGGTCCAAGCAGCGCTTCAAACGCCATGCAAACGAGCAATAGGCATCGAGCTGATGCAGAATCGCGTCCAGGAAGGACAAAGGGCGCTGAATCGACTCAAAGAGCGTGATATTGCCGTTCTCGAAGATAAAGAAATCGAGATCTTCCGAGGCGACATCTTTGTCCCTCCCGAGGAAGCTCGCCTCATGGACGCGACGGTGGTTTTCATCAACAACGTGATGTTCGGTCCTCAACTCATGCTCAAGGTGTTGCAGCTTCTCAAGGAGATGCCCAAGCTGCGGTGTGTCATGACGCTACGTAAGATCTGCGAACGTCACGGTCACGAAAAGTGCTCGCGTGCTGGCAACTACTGCGTCGAGTACGTCCAGCCTCCAGTTGAACAAGAGATCGACGTGTCCTGGGCTGATAAAACCTCCATCTACTTCTACGAAAGCCTCGACTTCAAGCTTAAGCAGCTCACTCAAGAGTTGGCTAAAGGTGGCCACCGTCCTATGTGGTGAAAGTAATGCTGGGCGACACCGCAATTATAGTCCAAGACGACGTGCATATACATAAGAACCGCGTGTAGATCCCCTTTCAAGAACAATGCAACGGGCTCACATGCACTCCACATTGATGAGTTGGTTTTGATAAGAGAAAATAGAGTTTGCATTGTGCTTCTCCCTTTCTGTGAATGTCTCGCTACTTATTAAGTTTGTACCGGTTTTAACTACACGTTAGGCAATCTGGGTGTGTCTAGATGAGAGTTGATCCCATGTATGGGTCCTGTGCGCTCTGTTCGAAGAAGATGGCCTCGTAAAAGTTACGGAATGCCTCCATCTCGCCCACACCCTGTGAGTATTTTGCAGCGTAGCTATCAGGTCCTGAAGACAGCAACAACTTGTTCATCTCAGCTTGGAGACACGGGATGAGCTTTGCCAATGGAGGTGCTGGCTTCTTCTTGGACGGCTCGGCAGTGTCTTCTACGACACGAGGTTCAGGTTTACTTGGTCCATACACGACGTCATCAAGATCTTGGAAGGCATTGCCACACAGGAAACCCAAACTATGCTGCAACGCAGGCATGAAGAGGTCGCTCTCGAGTAGATCCCACAAGTCGTTAAGGAGACCGATCACGTGTTCGTCTTGACCCTTTTGTTTGTCCGAATAGATCAAGAATTCCCGCCACTTATGCAGCTCTGTTGACTGCTCTTGTTTCTCCGCTGCAGCAACAGCAGCTGGAGATGGCAATACCGCCAGGAACAGCGCTTGAAGCAGTTCATTCAGCTCGTCGGCGGTGACTGCAGCTTTGCGACTGACTTTCCAGGCTTGCAACTGCTTATTCTTTTTGACCACAGCTTCGACGTGTGCTTTGATTTTATCTAGAGCTTCATCCAAAAAGTATTCGAGCCCAGAGGTCAAGAAAGCGTGGTGTGCCTGCTCCTCGGCCTCCTCTCTTTGCTTCTGTCGGTCAGAAAGCTCCGATCTCTTGCTCTTCTCGAAGACTCGTTTGCCGATGATAGAAACCTGTGCAAACACCAGTAAATGCCACAGTCCGAAGGCCACAAGTGCCGTCAGGTAGCGTGTGAAGGCCAGTAGCTTGGCGTCCTCCCATAGAGTATTACGTCGACTCTTTTGCGTCTTGTTCAGAGTCTTGAGCTCCTGTACGACGCTCTCCAGGTCCAACAATTGGTAGAGTCGTGTCTTGAGTCTTGGAAGAAAGCGCCGCACAGTCGCGCGGCTCTCGTCCGCCGTGGACCCTAGTGCCAGTTGCAAGTGCTGATGCTCGGCCATCTGCACTTGGATCTGTTGCGTGAAGCGCTCTGCCTCACTCAACATGCGTCTGTATGCGTAATAAGCGCCTCCAGCACATGCTGCACCCACGCCCGTCACGATCAGCAGCTTCTTGTGTCTGCGAGCGAAGCCACACGCGGTCTGCTTGGCATGCTGTAGAGCCGACCACATTGCGCCCTGTTTGACTAGATCTGACTATGTAGGAAAGTTGATGACGTTATGGCTGAAGATCTGCGTTTGGATTGGCGGAAAAATGAGTTTCAGTGTTTTATCGGTTTTATCCAATGATAAAGATACTTTTCGACACGAACATGGCCGACCGCTTCGATGCGCTATTAGCGCAGATGGCGCAGCAACATGGCGGCGTGGAGCCGCTGCTAGAGTCGTTCTTCGGCTTCCTGCATCGAAAGACTGACTTTTACGTGGTCTCCAGCGACCCCGCGAAGGCCAAAATGGGCTTCTTGCCTGGCCAGGCGCAGCAAAAGGTGCTCGCTGCGTTCCAGAAGTACCCCATGAAAAATCTCAGTGGCAACGCTGAAGCAGCTACTTCTACAGTATTGTCTGCTTCAAAGACTGATAGTACACGGAATCGTAGTGCTTCTGCTGCTGCTAAGGAGAAGATCAAACCGCAGCTGACGGAGGACGGCAAACAAGGTAAAGACTAACGATGTTTCTTGATAGTAAATGACGGTTAATTGACGTCGGTGATGACCCAGTCCCTGTAGGTAATGGCGGGGTAGCTGATGACTACACGTGGACACAGACGCTGGAGGACGTTTCGGTACGCATCTTGAGCTTGTACTTACAAGATACTACAGTAGTAAATCCGTACGATGGATCTTGCAGATTCAGATGGAGGTAGCGCAAGGTACACGGGCAAAGGCGCTGAACTGTCAGATCGAGGCGACGAAGTTACGTGTTTCATTAAAGAGTGATCCGACGAGGCCGTTCCTGGAAGGAGAATTCTTCGACAAGATCCGTGCCGATGAGAGTATCTGGTCACTCGAGGGCAACCACACACTGAACATCTCGTTGGAGAAAATCAAACCGACGTGGTGGGCGAGTGCACTGAAAGGCGGACCGGAAATTGATACGAGCCAAGTAGATTCTCGAAGGAATATTCAAGAGTACGACGATGTTACGCAAGGAGCCATCAGAAAAGCTGTTTTCGACCAGCGTCAGCAGCAATTAAACGGAGTTCCACTCACTCCTGAAGAGCAGATGCTGGAGGAAGCTAAAAGCTTACCAGGCTCGCCATTTCTACCTTCAACACAAGATAAATAGGCAAAGATGGAGACCCCGATTTGTTCCAATGCACACGCTTCATTTTTTTCACTGCTGCCGGTTCAGTTGCTTCTTGTTTATAGCTCTATCAGCGTCGGTTTAAGCTGCAGCGAAGATCAGCAAGCGAGAATAACGTTACAAGATGCCCCAGTGACGCTCGAAGCCATTCAGCAGACGGCAAATGGCCTGGGCACCGCTCATCGGGTACTCGGAGATCGAAATAGTATCGTCCAGCTGTAAAGTACAAGCACATAATACGTCAGCTCCTATTGCAATGACTCATAGACCGACAAGCACATACGTAGTTGCAGTTCTCCTTGGAAATGTGGCCGTGAGCCATGGCACCGAAGATGAACACGACCGGCTCGTCCTTAGGCAGCGACTCCACCCACTCCCACGGGTTCACGAGCGTACCAGTTCGCGTTAGTGCGTACTTCTTGCAGTTAGCTGGTAGGTGCTTGGTCACGGGGTTCTTGATCACGTTCAGAAGCGTGTGATTGCCGTCGGACGAACGGATCTTCAGCGTGTGTAGCAATTGCACTGCATTAAAAGATCAATACCGATTTTAATACTTCTTCGTCAAATAGTGATGTATCAATTGCTCATTGCAACGCACCCATGAGACCGGCGAAGCGCTTGTACGTGCGGGGCACGCGCATCTGCGAGCTCACTTCGACAAGCACTCCCTTTGTGCTCTTAATGTAAATCTGCATCGATAGTAGCAATATTTGTCAGGGAAAATACTACATATTCGTGCACAAGATTAGTACACGCCTTGAGATAGCCAGCCTTGTTTAGTGGAGAGTCGAGCAGCGCCATGAGTTCCTGGTGCAGAATGTCCGGACGCGATTGGCTGGCTTCGCGGTTCAGCTTCTTGTGGATGCCCTTGTGGTCGTCACAATTGAGCAGCTGGTAGCCCTTCGACGTCTTGACCGTCTCCAGAGCTGCCTGCTCGAGGATCACGATCACCTGGCGCCGCTTTACGTCCTCCTTGCTCGCACTCATTGTTAATTGTCTTTGTGAATGCAAAAAAGCACTGGTCACCACAATTTCGGAACTATTTTCGGTATTCTGGCTAAATTCGGAGTTAAATTTTGGGGTTACACTAAACGTACTTAGTGCAACGATCTTTAAGCGTCGTAACCTCTTCAACTATCATGGCACATCGTCTACTCCATGTCTCCTTCATCCTGTGTATACTCTTTATTGTCTCCATTCACGGCGCCGTGCTGCGGCGTACGTGGACGACGCAGCCGTGGTGCGAGAGTGTACGCAAGCCACAGTGGCCATTCGCATACCAGAAGACGGCGACGCAGACGCTGGAATGGCAGGGACGCGTGAATTCCAATGACCAGGATATCCGCCACCAATGCTCCGTCTTTGGTGTCCAGAGCAAGTGTCACATTTGTCAGGACTTCCCTTGCAACGGCAACAGTGGCGACCACTGTGCTTTCCAGTTGCAGGGCATTCCGTGGTCTGCTCTACCTAAAAACATCCCAACTGTGACGGATGTCCCGTGGGCCGTAGGAGGACAGCATCGCTACGATTATGATGGAGCAACACATCTATGTGTCTTCTTATCGGGTGGGCATTGCTTGTCACCGTTCACGACGGACTTTTCGCAGTGTGACGTGAGATGTTGGGGCTCAGAGTCTGGAGAAATTACATTCAAAGGAGCTCATCCGAACAGGAACTTAAGCGACGCGGAAACCTCAGATATATGGAGTTATTCGCCTTTATTTGGAGATTTAGGATGTGCACAAGGACATGTGATAACAGTGGCAGGAGATGGCTCAGCAGGATTTCAAGATGGACTAGCAGCAACATCACAGTTCAATCATCCACGAGGTGTAGCAGTCGACTCGAACGGCGTCGTGTACGTGGCAGATACCGCCAACCATCGCATCCGAATAATCGATCCGACCACCAAAAGGGTATCAACACTCGCAGGTGACGGCGTTGAAGGGTTCGTGGACGGACCTGCGCTTACAGCCGCGCGGTTCTCGTACCCGTCCGATGTTGCAGTGCGCGAGTCAAATTCGGGAACAATTACCGTGTTCGTAGCGGACACAGGCAATCATCGCATCCGACAGATCCGGAACGGTGTGGTTACTTGTCTTTCAGGCCTTTGTGGGGCTGGCGTAGAAACCGTGAGGCTGTCGCAGCAACCGGAGAAACCTCACGCCGGTATGGCTGATGGTGACCCACTCGGTGCTCGATTCGATTCCCCTATGGGCGTCGCAGTAGATGCAGACGGTGTTGTATTCGTCGCAGATACAGGAAACCACTTAATACGACGAATAGACCTGGACGGAACCACACACACAGTAGCGGGTGGTGTAGTTCCTTCAGAAGACGCAGACACACCCGGCTGTTTGTCGCCGTGTCTACGCGGTGAGCGTGGCTTTCGAGACGGAAATCTGACGTTTGCTCGCTTTGAGAGTCCTCGCGCTATCGCCATCGGCGCTCAACGCACGTTAATTGTTAGTGAAAGACATCGAATCCGTCGTGTCACGTACGATGGCGGCTCAGCGTCTACAATTGGGACTGTCACGGCCGCTAACCGCGTTGTAACCCTAGCTGGATCGAATGTACCTGGTCATATCGACGGGGAAGGCAACGAAGCCACATTCAACGCTCCAGCTGGCGTCACTTTTGCTGCCGATGGACGTGTATATGCTGCTAGCTCTACAGACTGTTCAGTGCGTCAGGTAACTCCTGCTTCTCTAGTCTCAAGAACTGTAACCTGTTCGACGCGAGCGACTGAAGTGCTACGTCCTAGTGGTTGCGCCTCGTACGAACAGCCTGTAGACGAACTTTTTCTCCAAACATCTCCCACTGCTAACAACATTTACCACAACTATCTTCAGCGCAAAGAATTCGACTCTGTTCAAGGCTCAGCAATATCTGGACGTACGTTGAAAGACTGTACGGGCTCTCCACCTGATGATGGACTAGTTCAAGGAGATCTCGCACTGCCATTACGTCATCCAGACACACAAGCGGTCATCTCTGACGTGTTACAAGACGTGGAGTACGGCACAACTATCAAGATCAGCTGTCCAGCAGCTTGTGATGCTGCTAGTACGACGTCAAAAGTCTACGGCTCAGGCTTATACAGTGACGTATCTTCCATCTGTCTCGCAGCAATCCACAGCGGCGTCATCGTAGCAGCACAAGGAGGCCTAGTGACAGTGACATTGGAGCGAGGAACCCAGTCATCAACCCAGACGTCAAAGACGCTGGGATCTACCGCACATGGAGTGACGTCGCTGGACTTACCGTCGACTCCGAACGACCGAGCTCGTCTTTTTAGTATCAGGCCCTATCTGCGACCAAAGCTCGAGGTTCAATCCATCGCTGGAGCTCCAAATGCACCGCTAGGATCCCTTCAAGACGGGTGTGGTTATCTCGACGCACAGCCGCCATTAGCTGCAAAATTTCTTGGGATTGCAGGGCTAGACATCGCTAAGAGTCGGTCACTGTCACGTACGGATCTCCTGTACATTGCTGACGCTGGGAATAATCGCATCCGCGCAGTCTCTGCTACGTGTGCTAAAGTTTGTGAGAACGGTGGCGTTTGCTCCGCTCCTGACGCGTGTACGTGTCTTTCAGGGTGGACGGGAGATGACTGTACAACTCCAGTATGCAGTACAAGCTGTGGTTCGAGACAAGTATGTGTAGGTCCCGATAACTGCGACTGTATCCCTGGATATGGAGGCTTTCCAGCGTGCCACACGCCCAAATGTGCTCAAATTTGTGCACATGGAGGAAGTTGTTCAGCACCAGACACTTGTTCTTGTGCGTCGGGATGGTTTGACGCCAACTGTACAACTCCAGTGTGTACGCAAACCTGTGGCAACGGCGGTAATTGCACCTCTCCCGACACTTGTACATGCTCTGACGCCTGGAAAGGTATCGATTGTCGTGTTCCAGTTTGTACTCAAACGTGCAAGAACGGAGGGAGTTGTGTAGCACCCGATTCATGTTTGTGTGCTGCCGGTTGGAGCGGATACGACTGCAGTCTCCCTATCTGTCCTCAAGGAGATTTCGTACCACATCCAAGTGGCTACACTAACGCACTGTCACGTCCTCTATCAGTTGAGAGTTACGTGCCTTGTGATTTTGCTCAATGGTGTCGTGAAACGGGGGAATTCGACTGTCTACATCGACTGTACTCTACGTCGAGTCCAGTGGTGAATGTATCAAGTGGCTTAGCGTCGAAAGGGAAGACTCCGCCGTCGTTTAAAGACTGTCTGCTTATTGAGTTAAGCGACGACGCACTCACACACTTCCAGTATCTCTCGGAACTAAACGAAACCAGCGATTTCTACCGCTTTGCTCCTGTTCAACCATACGGATGGGATACTGCTGCACCTTGGAGAGGGATCTCAAAGCCAGAGGAGGGATTCTCTCCACCGTTTCTTCTAACTAGCGACCGACAAGTAGCTCTTGTGGAACGTAGAAGCATTGTTCAAGGGGTTTATGTCTGTGCGCATGGAGGAAGTTGTGTAGCTCCAGATGTGTGCGAATGTGTCTCCGGCTGGGCAGGTTTCGACTGTCGTACTCCTGTGTGTTCACAAGGGTATTTTTCTCCAAGTCAAGTCACGTACTTGGCAGCAGAACCCTCGACAGCGACTCATTCACGACAACCCATTACCAATCCAACATACACAGCAACAGTTGAGCAGATTGGGTACACTCAAGTGACTGTCGCTACTGAGACTCGAGGTGGGGTACGATACAAACCAGCACAAGGAGGTTACGCGTGTTCGATTCGTAGTATCACCAAGTGGGAGAAACCTGTGACAGCCGATGGCTCTCCGGCCTATTTCTTCAATCACCCGAATTACTATTCGCGGTATATGGATCGCGAAGTATCAGCTGACGGTCATTACCATACTCACTGGACTGATATGATGTGGCCACCACTTTATAATCTATCCGAACCTCTACTAGATGATACACGGGAAGGTTGGAAACGTGGAGGGACCTGGAGCTATATTCCCGGTAGAAAATGGCAAAAAGGGGTCTGTCTTGTGGAGTTTAACCGTGTTTGCACCTCTGGAGTACAAGCTGAAGACCTTGTAACGGATGCAATAGGCGAGTTAGTAGTTGATACGGACGCTTCGTATCGACCGCAAGTCACATACACAGCACAAGCTGCTGGTCGTCGAGGGTTTTGGAACTCGTCCGTGTTTGGAGACTGCGTCGACCAAGTTGTGCGTGGCTGTTTCAACAATGGCACATGTGTGGCACCTGGCGTTTGTGACTGTGCTCCTGGGTGGTCAGGGAAGGATTGTGTCGTACCTCTTTGCACGCAAACTTGTATGAATGGAGGCAATTGTACACTACCCGACACTTGTACGTGTGCATTAGGGTGGACAGGAGCGGATTGCTCAATCGCTCTGTGTGCTCAAGAATGTCGAAATAACGGGACGTGTGTTGCACCGGATCAATGCAAGTGTGTAACTTGGGACTCGAATTGGCGAGATGGACGTGAGAATGGCGGCAAACCGGTCTTCCAACTCCCTGATGGGCGCGCACAACGTACAGGTTATACCGGTTATGATTGCAACACTCCAATCTGTGTCCAAGCCAAGCAATTCGTCTTGAATGTGGCATCGCGCTCGTCGAGTAACTTCCGTGCATTACGAGGAAACTACGACAGCGCCACTGCAACTCGCAATTGTGACACGTATCGCTGTCCTCAGTACGACGTGGAGCTCGTAGCTAACGACGGACGCTCTTTCCAGACTGGATGCTCTGTAGGAGACCCCGAGCCCAATCCTACCCGGAATTCCACACTGACAAGTGCTCAGCAGATCCAGAATCTGCTGGATGATCGTGATGATCTCAATATTGCACGTGTATCTGATGGGTTTCTATGTGGGAATATAATATGGAAACAAGGTGACATTGAAAGTGGTAACGGGACGAACCGAGTGCTCCGTACCAACTACGTCAATGTGACGAAAGTGGACGATGTTACATGGACGTACGGCATCTCAACGCCAGGTGAAGGTGTCTATGAATGTTTCAACTCTGGCGCTTGTGTAGCTCCCGACGAATGTGCGTGTGGCGATGGCTGGACTGGCATCGACTGTAACACGCCGCTATGTCGTTTTCAGAAGGCTGACAAACGCGCTGGAGTATCCTCCGGATGTCGCAATGGCGGCGTATGTGTTAGTAAAGACCAATGTCGATGTATCACCGTCCAATCTTCACTTCATGACCAGTATTCCTCAGCACCAACAGGTAGAACCGGGTACTTTGGCTCGGATTGTGCACTACCAATCTGCATCCAAGGAATCTTTGATCCAATCTGCAACGCTAGTGTTGTGGCTAACGCTCTCAATCTCACAAGTGGAAATATTACGGGTATCGACGGCATTGCCAGTAGTATCGTAAGCAGTGGAGATGGGTGTTTTCGCTGCAAGAACGGAGGACTCTGTCTCGCCCCCGACGTCTGTGCCTGTGCGGAAGGGTGGACTGGTTTCGACTGTTCTACTCCAATCTGTGAACTCTCTACAGCTGTGGTAGCGTCAGCGCGCTCAACACTTTTCACTGTAGACGAGCTCAAAGTGGAAACTTTCCGTACTGATCCGTGTGGAACTACCGGTGGTCGATGGGGTAAAGAAACCGTAAATGGCGCTGTAGTTGGTCAAGGCAATTGCACTCTTCCGATGAAATGCACTTGCTTATGTCGGCAACGCTACGACAAGAAACTTTGCGATTCCATCGGAGATTTTTGTGAAAAACCGTGGCAAGATCCTTTTCATCGCTCGATTCCTCCCGGTTTCGTGTACGGAACTCGAGATTGCGTCGATGGTTTCCAAGGAATCGAAGACGACGATGGCAACTTCCAGAGTTGCCACTTGCAGATCTACGTCCCGACAACGTGGCGTCGCTACACTGTAAGCTTTGTGGCTATAATCTCCGTCCTCGGAATGATAGTTCTCGTAGCATGGTACTACATCCGCAAGCGTGTTCGAAGAGCTCTGCTACTTGCGAAGGCGGAACGTCGACGCTCGCGTAAAAACTCGGAAGAAAATATCAACAAACCGAAACTTGGAGCCTTCGCACACCCAAAGAACGAGTAAAAGGCAAAAAAACAAGAGCATTGTTCTATTGTCTTCTTGCATCATAAAACCCTGCTTGAAAAATAATCTTGATACTACGACACGAGCATCTCGATAGGAAGCTGCGACGATGTGTCTTGTCCCTTGGGCACTTCTTTAGTGGCAATATTTGAGGTTACAGAGCCGACAGCGTTCGAAGCTTCCGCTTCACGTAAATACTCGTCACGACGGCCTTGTGACTCGTTTAAAAACGCCGTTAAAGCCTCAGGATGTCCACCATTCTCTTCGCTAGAGGTGGCCGGAAGAGGCTCAATACTAGGAAGCAACTCCTCCTCTTGCTTCACACGAGACAAGACCAGCTCCTCGAAGCAGTTGCCTGGCGGCGATAAACTGAACTCGCGACGCTCTTCGGGCTCCACATATCGCTCAATCGAGCTTCCAAACTCCTCGAGAACAGCAGCACAGATCGTCTCCACTTTACGCTCCAGGATCGAGAGAGATGGGAACTCGTTCATAACCCGCATGAACCACTCATTCATCTCGGCTGTCGACTTAAAATGATGACGATACAGTGGTTGGAAAGTGGATGTACCTTCGAGAAACACCGTGCGAATATGATGCTCTCGTGCCTGGCGATGGAACGGCAACTGACGGTCCAGCATCATTCGTTCCCAGCCGTACACACCATGATGTGCCATGCCGTAAAAGACGCCCAAGTCGTGAATCCACGGACACCACCACACGGGCATGTCCGTCACCAAACTCTCCTGTCCGGACTTCAGATACGCTTCCAACGCAACTCGCTTCGTGGACAGAATATCCAGCACATCTTCCAGCACTTGAGTCCGTCGCATGGTCACCCAGGCAGTGTTACGAGCCTTGAGGCCATGCGCCAACACACCTTCATACGCGTCCACGAACTCAATGCCAATCAAATCGCCCAGCGCCACTGCACGCTGATCAGAACCCAGCGGATCGGCACGCATGCGAGCCACTTCACGGCACTTGGGAGCAAACTTGGTCTCGTAGAACGAACGAGCCATCGTCGCCGTCTTGTTAAGATTGCCCCACTCCACAATATTGCGCCACGACACACTGTCCGTCTCCCACGAGAACTCGCGCGCTTGTTCTGTAACAAACGGTAGCATCGACGGTGTCGCTCGACCATCCGGCGCAACAACGGCTCGTTTGGCCAAGATCCGAGGCGCGCCGTGGATCGCCATCATGTACGCGAACGAGCGACGTTCGTCCTTAGTCCAGTCTGTGTTTTTCATACGATGATGGGAAGACGGAGCCACTGTCGCTTCGGGAAGTTGTCGAGCATTGTGCAGCACCGCCACGTGACGAAGAATATCCACCTGAGCAAGCTGCATGGCCTTCAGCTCCAATCGACGCAGCATCATGGTCCGTGCACGCATTTCCTGAGCAATTTGACGTCGCTGTTCCATAGCCACACGCTCCTTCTTAAACTTGTCCTTCTCATGACGTCGCTTGATCTCCTCTGCAGACAACAGCCAGCCTAGTAATCGATTCATATGCTGCACTTCTGGCTGCTTAAAGGAGCTCGCTGCTGCTGTCACATCACCCGCTTCAATCTTCCCGTTACTCTTCAAAGCGCTGTCATCGTTCGCTGAACTCGACGCACTTTCCGAGTCGCTCATATCCACGTCGCCTTCTTCCACAGGCGCAGCCACAGGCACAGGCACAGTAGCAGAGCTCTGGTTCGAGCTGCTCCCATTGCTTGCTTCCACTTGATCACGCGCTGCTTTCTCTAATCGAGCGAAATACAGACGAGGATCGGCCAGGATCTGGGCACATCGGCCGTATCCGTGAAGGAATACGCCCATCAGCAAGTTTCTGTCCGCGTCCTCGTTCCACCACGGCGTGATCTGAGTCCACGTTGGTCGCTCGCCCACGTCGACCAGCTCGATATGCGGCACCAACTTATCGACGCCATAATACGCGGCACGTTCGTCGATACTGGCAGCAGCGCTGGGTCTGGGCTTGGACGGATCCTCGCTCTCCTTGTACAGCTCATCACACACATCACACGCTGTGTCACCAGCTGCTGCAGCCTTTGCAGCATGTCCAATCGAACCACCACACGACGTCCGCCACCTTGTTTGGACTTGAGCACAAAGTCTTCTTCTTTCAGAACCGGCGACAAGTCTTCTTCATCGATCAGATTCTCCTGCTGCGCCAACGACGCGGCGTGGATCGAAGCCTTCACAAAGGTAGAGTCATCTTTGCGCTGCTCACACGCCAAGGCGGACACATAAATAAACCCACGCGCAAAGCGCTCCACCTCATTAACTGAGCGACTCCCGCCACTCTGACTTCGAATGATCTCCCAGCGACCGAATCCGTAGTGCATCAGCGCCCGTTGCAGACGATCGCGTCCATTCTGTGTCCACTCTCGAGGCGCACTCTTCTCTTCAAGCCGTTCGCGCTCTTCCTTCTCCTTGTCGCGTTTCTCCTGCTCGAATTCATCATCCGAGATGCTGCCGTCCGAGAAGCTCCCGCCATCGCCAAAACGGGCCACACGCGTTCGCTTGCGTTGCTGCGGCAGCAAATCTTCGGCTTCTATCGGGTCGGGCTCGGTCAGACCCACAGCTTTCTTCCAAAAGTCCGGATCGTCCAGATCGACATCATCCGACGTCGTGGCCGACACAAAACTGGCCTTGGAGAAGCTGGACTGCGCCTGCTCCGTGTACTGTACGATCTGAGACGAGCGCTGCAAGATCTGGTCGATATCTAGCGCACAGAACTGCTCGCCAGCGTTGTCGTCGTCACGGAACACATCGTACGCTCCACGTTTCAGCAGCTCGTCGATCTCCTTCGACTCTTCAGCCTTAGAGCTCTTGTTCCGTTTCTTGCCGCCTTCTTCTTCGTTCTCACGACGCATGTGCGTGAGCACTGCCTTGTCCAGTCCCAGCTTCAACGAGGCCTTGTGGAACATGTGCATCTCGTACGTCTTACGCGTGATGAGACGATAAATCTTCACCGAGTGGGTCTGGCCGATTCGATGCGCACGGGCTTGAGCTTGCAGATCGTTCTGAGGGTTCCAATCACTGTCAAAGATGATCACAGTGTCTGCGGCCGTCAAGTTGAGTCCCAACCCGCCAGCTTTGGTTGATAACAGCATGACAAACCGCTTATACTCTGGCTTTACGAAGCGATCCACTGCTGCTTGACGGTCATTTCCTCGAATATTGCCGTCCAGGCGCTCGTACAGGTACCCACAGTAGCGTAGATAATCCTCGATAATGTCCAGCACACGCACCATCTGACTGAAAATCAAGACCTTGTGTCCTCCGTCGTTCAGACGTGGCAACAGCTTGTCAATCAACACCATCTTGCCGCAACACTTGACCAACATTTCGTGACGCTGCGTGTCTGTCGTCAGGCCTTCGTTCAGAATCTCCTCCACGCCATTATTCAGGTACGGATGGTTGCAGCACTTGCGGAGTTCCATCATGACATTCATGAGGTTCGGGACGTTGCGTGGGTTGCCGCCACGGTTCAAGAAAGACGTGTTTCGCTCGTAAATCGCACGGTACCACTGTTTCTGCACGGGTGTGAGTTCCACTTCGACAATCGTCTCTTCCTTGGGCGGGAGCGACTTCTCGACATCCTCCTTCACACGACGCAAGAGATACGGCTTCAGCATCTTGTGCAGATCAGCCACTTGTTGCGCTTCGTGGAGATCGCCAAACTTGGCGAGGAAATCCGAGACACTGGGGAACGATTTCGCGTCTAAGAAGTTCAGTAACGCCCACAATTCCTCCGTCTTGTTCTGAAGAGGAGTGCCCGTCAGGAGTACGCAGTGGTCTCGACGCAGCGAGCGCATCTGCTCCACAAGACGTGACGACTGGTTCTTCAAACGGTGCGCTTCGTCCACCACAAGACATCGCCAATGGATCTTCGAGAGCACGGCAATGTCCTTAATAGCCACTTCGTACGTCGTCACGAGAATGTTAAAGCGGTACGTCCTCTTCTTGTCCGGCCGCAGTTGGTCGTCCAGATACTTGAACTCAAAGTCGCGGATGATCTCCCGCGACGCGCTGTTGCCATGATACACGACGCAATTCATCGTCGTCCACATCTCACACTCGTTCTGCCATTGCACAATCAGCGAAAGCGGCGCGACGATCAAGAACGGGCCTCGGATCTTAATCTTGGGGTCATCTCGAAGGAGATTCAGGAACGACAGTGTCTGGATCGTCTTTCCCAGTCCCATCTCGTCGGCCAGGATACTCGGTCGTTCATTGTACCAATTCCACAGCAGCCAGTTCAGTCCTTCCAGTTGATACGCACGCAGCGAGAGCGACTGATCTTCGCCGAACTTGGGCGATTCCTCCAGCTTGCGGTACTCGCGAATACTCGGCCGAGGTCGTGGCTTCCACACTTCCTCGTCGGGCACAACAATGGACGCTTTATACTTGGTCAACGCCGCATCGTCCTTGATATCACACGCACGCTCCCACGTGGCATCAGTGTACGGCAGGATCCGCCACTTGATGTAGTAACGCATGCCGTCGTCCTCGGGCGCGTCCGGGAAATTGGGATCTGCGGACATGGGCGTGTCCTGACGATGGGCGATGATACGGTGGATCTCCAGGTACTCGGGGTTAAAGTACTCGAGCTCATCAGCCGCAAGGGAATCCTCGTCCATGTCGCCAGCTTGACGATGTGGGTACTGTAGTCTGTGCTGCTCTTTCTCGTGGAAACGCTTGATCTTCTGCTTGTTCGTGAGCGGATCCAGCTCCAGCAGCACTTGTTTGGTCTCCCACGACGCGTGCATGTAGGCGAATCCCTTCCACTTAATGAGATACTCGGAGATCGTCGTCTTGGCCGGTCGATTAGCAAACAAATTGGCGCTGGCCGAGTCGGCCGGCGGTGTTGGAGCTGGTTCCACGACCTCTCGTTGTCGTACGCCCATGATCTTCTCGATCACCATGGTGGCCACTGCGGCCTGGTCGTCGGCCGGCTTGGCCTCCTGCTTGAGCTTGCTGGTGTCCAGCTCGAACTCGGCCTCGTCGGATTCCGAGTCGTCGTCTCTCGGCCGCTTCTTGTGTTTCTTGGCCTTCGTCTTGTATGAGTCACTGTCTGAGCTCGCGATATCTTCGTCCGAGTTGGGGACGTGGTACGACTTCCGTTTCTTATTGGCCGAACGTTTACTATGGCGACGATCGTCCTGTAGCTGCTGGGCCAGCTGCCGGGACTTGTCGTCGTCGTTTAGATCTTTGTCCCGAGGCTTCTTGGTCATGACGCGACGTGTGTGGCAGGCCTCACACTCGCGCGTGCGACGATCGCGGTTCGGATGCTGGCAGGCCGCGCAGATCCACGGCTCCTTGACCGGTTTAGCCGGCTGCAACTTGCGCTTACGCTCGCGCTTGGCCTGCCGGTTGGCCAAGCTCGTGTTGAAGGCCGTCAACTTGGTGAAATCATCGTCTGGCTTCTCACACAGCGGACACACGTACGCGTCCAGGGCCTCTAGCTCCTCTTGGGTCAGGATGAGGCCACAACAGCTCGGGTGTACCCATCCGTTGCAGCCGCCGGAGCCGCGGATGCACTCGATCATGATGCCGGCGCCATCGGTCTGCTGACACACGCAGTAGGGCGTGGGGTCGGGCGTGGCCATGACGGGCCGGAGGGGGGAGGAAGGGGAAAGAAGAATGGATGCGGTCGCGCCCTCGTCTCTTCCCGTCTCTCGTGCGGAAAAGTGTCGCTCAACGCTGGCAGCCCTCCAAACTGCCGGCCCCTCTTCTCTGAAGATGCATCATAATTCCATCCAGTGCTTCGGAATTGTACCCCTTTTGGGAAATGGTTACGAAATCTATTTCAAGAACGTAACCTTTGGTAATCCGAAAAAAAACGAGCTGAAACTAAAAGCAGTGATTTGCTCTAGGCTTTTTTAATTTTGGTAAAATAACGACTGGCCGCTCCAATTGCAATGTTCCTTTTGAGGCTTTTATGATAAAAGTAAAGTTTCAGCTAAAGTTTCAGTATCACAAACATTTTATCATAATTTTCATATTGCAACCTGTTAAGGAAAACGGAATGGCAGACGAGGAAGAGGAGTTGTTGACGTGCGTGGGCGTAGCTTTCAGTGCATACCCTGCGCTCTGCGCGTTGCCCCATGTAGTCAAAGCAGTAAACTCTTTCGTAGATCCATCACCACGGTGGACCATCATGCGTGCTGCCCGTTATGGCTTCGTGCGCTTGCTGGACCGGTTGGCACTGAACGAGCGTCGCGGACTGATAACTCAAGAAGTCAACATTGACGAGGCCATGGGCAAAGCAGCTAAGCACGGTCACTTGGCGGCTATTCAGTGGTTGCACCAGTTCCGGCCCGAGGCGCGTGTGTCTGTTTTCGTGCTCATAACAGCTGCAGAATTCGGGCAATTGGAGATTGTCCGATGGCTCCATGACAACCGATCAGACCGCTGTACGTCTGCGGCGACGGATCGAGCAGCAGCCAGCGGATACTTGAATGTAGTACAGTGGTTGCATTTTAATAGGCAAGAGGGCTGCACATACGACGCCATGACCGGTGCTGCGGAGTTCGGTCACTTGGATGTGGTCAAGTGGCTCCACCAATATAGAGCAGAAGGGTGTACTGTGCATGCTATGGATCGTGCTGCTGCTAACGGTCACTTGGACGTCGTACAGTGGCTCCACGAATATCGAGAGGAGGGCTGCTCTCGTCTCGCGATGGACTTGGCGGCCCAGAACGGACACGTGGAAGCTGTCAAATGGCTACATGAACACCGGACAGAAGGGTGCACTGCCGCTGCGATGAATGGCGCTGCTACGAACGGCCATTTGGACGTTGTGAAATGGCTACATGAGTACCGAGTAGAAGGCTGTACGAGTGTTGGAGTGCGTCATGCAGCTGCGAACGGACATTTGGAGTTGCTCAAGTGGTTGTACAAACATTACTCAGCTGTATTCCAGCTCTCACAAGTAAATATTATGGACGACGCAGCCTCCCGCGGACAAATAAAAGTGCTGCAATGGCTTCATGATAATAATGTCGAAAGCTGCACTACTGGAGCGATGGACGGTGCCGCAGCCAGAGGGCATCTGAATGTGGTAAAATGGCTATATGCGAACCGTGCGGAAGGCTGCACTAGTAAAGGTATGGATCTGGCTGCATGCAACGGTCATTCGGATATCGTGTGTTGGTTACATACACACTCAAGTGCTGGGTGTACGTCAAATGCTATGGACTTGGCCGCAAAAGGTGGTCACTTGGACGTCGTGATCTTCTTGCACGAGAATCGATCAGAGGGCTGCACATCTCGAGCCATGGACCACGCCGCGGAGAATGGTCATCGAGCAGTTGTGCGGTGGTTGCACGAGCACCGTCCAGAAGGTTGCACCACAGATGCCATGAACGCTGCTGCTCGTAATGGCGACGTGCGGCTGCTGGATTTCTTGTACTCAGAACGTACCGAAGGCTGCACGCTGCGTGCTCTAGATCGAGCAGCGTACACTGGTCAACTCGCCAGTGTGAGATGGCTTTTAAGCCACCTCCCCGAGCAGTTCGACGAGCCGGAGCGAGTCCGAGAAGCAATAGAAGCAGCTAGACGGGGTCGGGCTGATCATGTCGCTGCGTGGTTACGAAGACATGTTGAGAATCACATCGAACAAGACGAGTCATAAGTTTTTAAAACGCTGCTGTCGTGTGAATGTACGGAGGCGTTGCAAAACAAAGTACTAGAAATACAAATAATTATGAATTAAAGGGGGAAAAGAAAAACTTCAAATTTCTGTTGGGACAGGCAAGCAATAAAAGAATTCCAAAAGTCCAGCCGAGAGAGACGACGACTGCTTCATGCGAGCTGTTGCAGCATGTACAGTACAAGTGGGTTTAAGCGTATTGTTTTCCTTAAGCACTATAGATAGACTCACTACCAGGTGCTCCGAAGTAATCATTGTTTTGGAAATTCAATACCGATACAATATTTTACAATAAACTATTCATTTTTGAGGTGCCAGATATTACTTTCAATAAAAAAAATCACATGTCTTTCCAATCTTGTTTTTCTTTTACTTTTTCGTGTTTTTAACGTTAAAACCTTTTTATATGAAGTTTTATCGGACCTCACTTAAATTTTGTAATGGTATCTTACAGCCGATGAGATAATTTTGTTGATTAATAGCTTTCAAGTAATATTATTCAACCAATCAAATTGAATAGGGGTAGGTGAGTCCTGCCGATCCGGGCGTATCACGTCCGATTGATACGCAAAAAATGTGTATGCCTATCCAAACTCTAAGTCATTGACATGTCACCTGCATATTTTGCTTTATTGGACCAGTAGACCAGTGACATGGGCTAAGACGAACTACAGCCTGGTAACACCTTGCGGGCTAAGGCAACAACCATCGGTGCGCTCGTCAAAATTCTCAAAGACGAGAAAGTTGAACAGGAATACATAAGGACGTGCATTGATAATGACGAGAGCGGAAACATGTTCGTGTGTGTGATGGATAAATTTGGTATGTATCTTTCATTTAAGGAGGAAAAAGGGAAAACCAATAGCTCGCAGCACTGCCATGCAGTACTATCAGCAAGCCAAGCTCTGGCTGCTCGATCAGTTCCCTAAGCACCGAGCTTCATTAGAAGCCCGGTTGTTGAAAATGGGGAAGCCACTAGACAGCTTCGGTCTGAAACGAGATGGTGGCGGGCTCGTTGCGACGGCACCACCTTGTACGAAAGATGATTTGATAAGAATGATGTTGAATTTGTACACTTATGCTAGCTCAGATAGTGGCCAAAAAGATACAACTTTACCATGTCTTCTCTGGTACTAATTCGGCCGCGCGTCTGACTTAGCCATGGTTCGCAAACAAAACATGTCAGTGGCCGCAGGCGACGTCTTCTTCCTGCGCTTGGCTCGCGTGAAGACGTCTTAGGAGCAGGGGCTGTCGCTCTTCCCTGACACGGAATTGGCTACGTGTCCCATATTATCCATTGCGCTCGCCTTAATTCTCCAAGCCGCCCCAGGCTCAGTCCTCGTCAGCAACCTCCCAGAACAAGCAGGCTTTGCAAGCTCCACGCTTTCTCCCGACGTCCCGCTGATCGAGCTGCCCAGCGCTCCGCAAGTTACCACTGGTCTTGCCGCTCCAGCAGCCCCGCCGCGCGTCGCCACACCCCTACAGTATACGCGCATGCTAACCGGGTGCTAGACCGTGCGGCGCTTGCTGCTGGTGTGGATGTCGCCTTGACATCGCACTCGTTTTAAAGAGGAGGCGGTTAGCACGCAAACGGCTGCAACAGATGACTGCACGCTGGATCTTTGACAGAGACTCCTGGAATCTAAGCACGACGAACAAAGGGCTCGATTGCATTTTCAATACAAGCAAAGAAGACCACAAGATAGCAAACGTACTCAGCGAATACAAACCCAGAACCGCGGTGCCGCTGCAAGACTTGACTGGCTTTGACACGCCAACGTGTGAACCGATGGATCCGGTGCAGCGTGTCCTTTTTGCTACCCGCTTTCAGCTCAAGACCGACAGCCTCAACACCAGCAAGAAGGTAATAAATGTACTCATCTCACGCGCCTTCCGTCACTTCCCGCTACTCAGAGACCTGGACCCGACAAGTCCAGCTGTGAAGCGCATCGATGCGGCTGCTGCTCACGCTGATGCCCACCAGCCGAGCTCCTTGCATGGTCCTCGCACCTGGCAACTCCATCCACTACCTGTGAGGACGTAAAGACAAGTAATGCACCCACCCACAGCGGCGATGAACAGCCAATAGAACCAAGCGAGAACCAGAAGACCATCGACCATCAAGCAAAAGTGGTTAAGCACTTTATAGAGCACATCAAGCGACAGGACGCTCGCATAGATGCGCTCAAAGCGAACCTACACCAAGAAAACAAAGCTGTCCAGATGAAGGCACAGATGAAGTTAGCACGCTAAGCAAGAAACAACGCCGGGTGTCTCCAACTCACCTTCATGCTACCTAGCTTGCGTGGTACGCTCAAGATCCACGCCGGTACGCACTGGCACCAAAACAAGAGCGGTCGAGAGCGAAGTTTCTGGTGGCCTTCATGAAAATTTTCTTGAAGACGGCTTCGTTCTTGACAAAGAGGCTGACGATATCGTGACTGTGTTCTTGAGGTGGGCAAGAAAGCAGAGAAAGCCGTACTTGCCTTTCTGGATAGTGAAAAGTAGATCAGCTCGCGTGGGTCGAGTGCCGTCCTTAAGCGCTTGCAGACTCTTCACAGCAAAGAAGACCTAAACGACAGAATCAAGCGCCACCAAAATCTCCTCTAGTCTGTATCCATTCGCGACCCCGCTCCAAGCTACACCCAGGACGTTTTAGAAGTAAAGGATTAGCAACAGGAGCGCATAGCTAGCAAATTCATCATACACATTTACCATAACGCATACATCTTACTTAACCCAGATACCTAACCAGGTAGAGCACCACGCCTTCAGCCACTAGCCCGTGACGCGCCTCCACCCCACAATCAAAAAGATGGCGACGGCTGGGTTTGAACCCCTCAAGGCATAGCCCTGTGCTCTTCCACTGAGCTACGTCGTCGTTGGTTGAGGGGGTGGGTGGGGTGGGGAGGGGGGGCTGAGGATCGATTCTTGATTGGCCGACAGCCTGAGCTGTGGAGCTTGAACGTTCGAGTTGGAGGTCTGCGTAGTTGAGCGAAAAACCTTAAGACTGAGCGTAGAGGCCTCGTTGTCGGGGGCAGTTTTGTGTGTTTTGAGCTCTGCTAGGCTGTGAGCCACAGGTCGGGTGCGAGTCTAAACATATTTAAGTGGCAGGATAGGATTGGTGAAAAATCAACCAATAAGTGCGTACATCTGTAGCTGGCTGTCGTTGGTGCTCTTAATAGTGGGCCCCACCACGAAATTTGGGGGCTCATTGTTGAATTTACCAGACTAAGAGCACATGGCTCCTGGTCGGAAAAAGGCATGCTTTTATTTTTAGCTTTTTTCAGCTTTCAGGTCATTTCCTTGCGCCTATAAACATGGTTGAAAGTCTGTCTGCAGCCGCTCCCCAGCTTGGGGTGTCTCCCCTATCATCACGCAGTACCGCAGTTGTCAGTAAAAGGTACATTCAGAAGTGTTCGTACGGTGTTTGTTTTTGCACTTTGTACCAGCTTTGAGGTACAGGTCCGATGGTCCGAGGGTCCGATAAATTTTGGTATGGAGAATGAAAAGGCTTATTTTGGCTGGAATTATTTTGTTTAGCTGTTGGTTTCAGATAAACAAATGTCTCATTTCTAAGAGCTGTGACAATCTTGTTGCAATGTTTTTATCGGAACACCTGCTCACTATGTGTGTATATTACTCTGTTATTCCCAATTGCCTTTATCTAGACGAAGTGCTAAATCTGAGGCAAATTGGGTATATTCGACTGTTTGGTTTTGTACGTAGTATGCACCATTGACTGCTCTTACCACAAAACCACAAACGCTAACTCGTTGCTCAAAAAACAAATTTGAGCTCACCAGTTTGCTATCCAATTATGTCGTACCCTATTTCCCTGTAGCCAGTATTCGCTAAGAATGTTTGACATTGCATGTGGTACAGGTGCAATATTCTTAAAAAGGAATGGATGTATCCCTTGTCGATCATGCAAATACCGTTAGCTGTCCTAATGTGTGTATTAGCATGCTTAGACCCTTGTGTAAACGTAAACATGTATCCAGTGTCGGGCAGCATCTCGACGAACTCCGACTCTTCACCGGTCAGACCGAATCCGCAGCCTAAGTCCAACACCCACGAGTCTCTCGTTATACATGTTCCTGCGTCAAGCAAATCAGGATACAAAGAATATACCTTATCCTCCAGCTGCATCTTCTGCAGACTGATTTGGCTTGCAATCAGCTGGCGACGTCGGCGTTTAAATTTCGTCGACTTGCCCTCCGTTAACGCCAATCGACATCACAGCATCCATCAAATCGTTCGTTTCGTGTGCGTCGAACATATTCTAGTCGCGGTCAGGAGTTGGTTAAGACTCCTTTCCGTTGGGAGGGCTGGCTGAGGGCACTGGACTCGTGGTCGAATCCATGTGCACGGCGTTATACGCATCCCCTGATGCGTCCGCCGACAGACAGTCCTCCGTGCGTTCTTTCCCTTCACAATCGAGTTGGACTTGCCCTATCCCACCTTTAGCGTCGGCTCTTGGTGGCCGCGTGCCTTCTTTACCGAACGAGGGTACGATCAGATGTAGCGCCGGAAAACCTGGAGCTCCATATCTTGATTTCTCTTGGCGCAGTGCTGCATGAGGTGCTGTCCATCACTGATGTCGCTGTGCACTGCAGCACAATAGAAGCACGACATGATGCCGGTATTTCCTTACGTCGGCGCGGGAGTAGACTTCCGCTTCCCTAGTGCCGATCCGGTGGTCTTAGCAGATTTGGCGGGGTTTGCATCAACATGATTCACGGATGCTCCGTTGCCCAAGGTCTTGATTTGAGCCTTGCTCTTGCTCCCAAAACACGCTCAGAGTTTTGACCCCACCTTATCCAGTGTGAAATCCTCCGGCGTAAACACGATTGCTGAGCCTCAAAGATGTGCAGGCAATACCGCCAAAATCTTGATCAGCATTATCTGCTGCGAGATCAGTCCGATCTTCAACGCGTCAGCGCTGTTACAGCTCACCTGCTCTCTAGCAGCCTTGAGTTGCTGGAAGAGGTGGAAAACGTTCTTGAAGTCAGAGGTTGCAATCGTTTCGAAACGTTGCACTAACTCGACAACCCCCGATGCCGTTTTCAGTCCATAGCGCTTTTCGATGACACGCTAAATCTGATGAACCGGCCTTTGCATCAACCTCTCATCTGGGAAGCCCGATGGAAGAGTTAGGCTGAGCAAATCCTTGATGTACGAAGATTGCTGCCTGACAAACGCCCTTTGCAGCGCGTACGCATCCCTTTCTTCATCCGAAGCCTCTTGTCCTGGTTCGGGTAGGACAGATTCTCTCTCGGTCGCATCCTCATAGCGTGCGACAGGAGCGCGACGCTTTTCTGAAGCTAGGTGACGACTAGCGCGATGCATAGCGCGACCAGATGTGCCTTGACCTTGTCTTTCCATCCGGCGAACAAATCCTTCTTGCCATGGAAGGCCAGCTTATCAACCACGGTTTGGCTCGGTTTGCTTATCTTACTTATCTAACTTGAAATGTTGTTTTCCTTTTACACTGAAGATAGACTCACTACGTGTGTATTTTACTCTGTTATTCCTAATTGCCCTTATCTAGACGATGTGCTCAACCTGAGGCAAATTGGGAAGTGAGCATGCCTCCACACTGCGCGCGGGGCGGCTTCACATTCCTTCGCCTTCTGTCGTCATCGGACTATGTACCTAGATCACACCATCTGTGATCTGCACTGAATGGTCCTCTCGTACTTGATAATGATAGGTCCACATCACGTTTGAAAGGCTGTCCTCTCATTCATTTCTTTCTTTCTTTAAGAGACAAGCCGGTTTCCTGCTGCCCCTCCGCTCAACACTCCCCCTAAAAACTCTGGAACATAGTCAGATCTCGAACTCCTGGCTTCTCTCTTAACTTCACATAGTTGTTTTGCTGGAAGAGATTTCGTCAGAATGCCTGCTGTCATCTCTGTAGTTGCGCAATATGCTAAGACGACCCATTTCAGCAAGACCCCTCGTGAATAGAAAGCGGATTTCAATGTGCTAATTTTCTTTGTGGTTTCCTGGATTTTTCACAACGCTTATAGCTGCGTTATTGTTGCACCACACTTGCACTGGGATCTGTTGCGGAAATCCTATTTCACCTAGCCGATGCCACAACCACTCACTTTCTTTAGCTCCTTTACTTAGTGCGACGAGCTCTGCTTCAGCAGTACAGAGTGATACACCTTCTTGTTTGCTACTGTACCATAGTACACTTGCTCCAGCCATCTTCATAACATTGCCGGTGACGGATTTACGTTCTTAAGGCTGACACGCGGAGCTTGCGCTTGTGCACAGTTCATAAGTCACGTCACTCATTTCACCATCGAGTAATAGACAGTACGTCGACGTCCCTTTCAATTATTTGAGTAAACGTCTCGCCACATCTCAATGTGTACGGTTGTAGCAAGATAGAAACTTATTGAGATCTCTAACTGCGTTAGCAATGTCCAGTCGGGTCCCACGGACTAAATACTGCAAGGACCCACCAATCCCTCTGTAGTCAAAGAGGTGAGCAGCAATTTCTACTGCACTCATCTTTGTTTCTTGTTCTAGAGTAAGACCAGGTACCGTAAGCCACGGTCTCAATGCAACAGCGTAAAATCCATAAATCGGGAAAAGAAAAAATGCAGCTCTAAAAACATAAAGAGACGACACCCCACCTTAGAACTAACGCTTGTAAGAAAAAGTCATCACATTTTGCAAATCTTTGAATGTTTGCATTTAATGGACTTACGGTAATTATTTTTACCACGTAAAAAGTGCAAAGTTTGTAAAAAAAATTGTAAAGGTGTAATCAAATTGGTCAGGCTATCCAGCCAGCTAAAACTTTCCTCCCAGTACATGTAATATGTCAGCATATATGATACTTAAGTATGTACGAGGTAATTTTCAGCTAAAATGAGTAAAATATAACAGTACTTGCAGCATTAAAAAATTGTTTTTAGGCATCTAGAACTCAAAATTTAAAAAATAAAACATGTATTGTCCGAATGGGTGACTGCCATGGCTTGTATATTTTTGGCTGAGGGACCATGGTAGATTATTAAGGCTCAGATACGGTGCAATTATTGGAAATAAACAATCAAACTAAATTGTTTAGGCCTTAGTGGAAATCTGAGCACTTTAACTCTAAAAGATGTATCATATGGTTGTGTACTAAGTGTTTACTATCTTGCTGAGCAAGGATACATACATTTCAGTCAAATTCAGGAAAAGTCTTGTTTTTTTGGAAACGGTCTTCAACTGATATTTGCTATTGCTGAAGTTTACTACATGCCAAGTGTAAACCCAACAAAGATGAGTGACTTTGCAGCACAAACTAGTAATACGCGTGACGTGCTTAAGGTATAGTATTTTAGACTTGGTCATGTAGGAAAGGGTCGCTTAATTAGGAGTATGAGTGACCAAAAGATTGAAAGGCTGCCAAATATCTCTTATTCTGACCTCAAGCAAGTTGATTACTTTTGCAAGACCTGCGCACACATGAAGGACCTTAGAATGTCTTACCGAACTATGGTTTGTCGAAAGGCAACCGAACAGCTGCATATATTGCACATGAACACTATAGGTAAGCTAGTAGTCAATGGTTTATACTGCTCATTTGGCTACCATTATGCATTGGCAGTAGTAGATGATGCGGCTGCTTATAAGTGGCATTTTGTACTTAAGTCCCTAAAAGATGTCCCTATGAAAATAAAGCCCCCTTTAAAGCAATTGTCAGTGAAATTTCCATCATTAAAGGTCTGACAAATTAGGACTGCCGGAGGCACAGAATTCTTAAATAATGATGTTTCTAGATTGTGTTCAAACCTCAAATTAGAGCTTCAAAGCTTAAATGTAGAATCCTAAAAAAATAAATTGGAAGTGCAGTGCGGTCCCACCAGACAATGGTGGTTAGTGTAAGATGTGCACTTAGAGGGGCCAATATGCCAGTGACCCGAGACGCTATAATGCATTGTAGATGTAGCGAATTGTCTAACAGGGGCTAGATTGGCGATGAAGTACCCGTATGAGCTGCTACGTTGTAAGAAAACGAATGGGTTGGCCTTCAGAATTTAGGGCTCCACAAGTTGCGCGTGTTCCGAAATCGAAAAGAAAGGACCCTAAATTGAGCGATAGGGCAATAGAGTGCAAGCACGACTTTGTCATTGATAGATTGGTACATGTACTTCATTTAATTTAGCTTATGGACCTCGATAACTAAACGACTTTTTTATTTTGAGTCGAAGATAGGGCTAAACGAAAACGACAAAAGCATCGAAAAGGGACAATTATGTCATTATGCATTCTTCGGGAGCCCTGCTTACATGGAGCAATCAGCTGATGTTATGTGTCTTTTACTGCACTAAATTAATGAAGGAGTTTAATTATTAAAACTCATACGTGAAGGATTTCTTGGCAATAAGCTCAGCGGCTTCCTTCTTCGCGTCGGGATCCAACACTGCTACGTACTCGCTGTTTATTGCCGACGGAGACTGAATCAGTGCCAAATTTTGACCCCGTTTGCCCTTGCGGGATCCCAGTCGTCGACGACTACCAGCATTGTTTGTAGTTCCGAGCATTGGCGCAGGTGGCTTTTGCTGTGGCTGTTCTACATGAACTTGACTCGGTTGCTTCGGGACTAGCCTTGCAGGACTGTTTGGTGTGTTTTGACGTGTCTTCTGCGGAGCCTCCTGTGTTGGAGTTCCAACCACATGAACAGTGTAGCTATCCTCCTGTTTACTCGATTGCTGCTGAGGCGGTTGTCGGTCCTGAGACTCGTTCTGCTGTTGCTGGTTCTGCTGTCCATGGTCCTGCCGTGGTGTTTTGTTGCTGATGATGAACGAGTTGCCGTTCTCGTCATACTCGACGTCCGTCAAGTGCTTCATATCCATAACGAAGCGACCAACATCGGTCACACAGAATAGGATCGATACACCGAGTGACGGGCCTGTCTTGACGACCATGTCGGGGTCCCACACGAGAAAGGCGAAGGTGTAGAACCACGTCAGGATCTTGCAGCGTAGCACGTTGCGCTCAAAGTTTTCGGGCGACGGGAAGATCGTGCGTGATATTTTCGGTCCGTAGACAAGCATAGTGGCCAGCACCATGGGCACCCAGGCCAGTGTGTAGAGTGTCTGCAGCTCTTGCTCTGCTTGTACAGTCTCATCCGGACACTGGAAGAAAGATGCCACCAGCGACGCCGACAGGTAAAACTCCAATCCGCACACCAGCATAGCCTTGAGCGAGTTCTCATAGAGTTCGCCCAGTCCCTTAAGAGGCTGATCCACCAGCTCCCGCACCGCCGGCGCCATAGTCGCCACCGTCGCTGCCATGGAAGTTGTCAACCGGCTAGTTACGCTGACTAGTAGCGTACTTACATGAACATCTCCACCACACCAAATACATCATTTATGGATACTTAAACGAGCACATTCAAAACATTATCTTAACACAATATCAACTTTTAAATTTTACATCCATGATCAGAAGATTTAGACTCAAGGTGAAGAAGCCATGGAGTTAGGACCGCTGCAGCCGCTCCGGTCGTTACTAGAGGATGACGTCGCCATGGGATCCAAGACGCTGGATGCGACGCTATCTCAAGCTCTGAGTGGCGAGGAGCTCACGGCAGCCGTTCGCGCGGCGTCTATCGTCCAATTAGACCAAATTTTAGAGCACGGAACACTTGCTACGCTTCCGTTGAGCTTTTTCTTGCTTGTCTCGTCCAAGGCGTCCAAGCTGGAGCATGTGCGTCACCAAGAAGAGATGGGTGAAGCACGCACGAAGCTACTGCAACAGGCATCACAGCTACTACACCAGATTCCCGTATCTGTGGCCTCTAAAGAGCTTAAAAAGCTCAGTGTTCTCGTCGACCAGTACGCACGACTGGCTGTGGACATGAAACAGAGCATCAAGACCATTTTCCCGCTCAAATCCTTCTTGCGACGCTTCCACGAAGAGGGAAACGCCGTGTTGATCCCTCTACATGCTCAATTTCTGTATCTGTGTCTGCATTCCAAGTGTTATTTCGCTGCAATGGAGATCTTGGACCTGTACGAAGACAATTGCAGATATAGAGAATATTTACAGTATTATAACGGTGTTATTGATATGTTTTCTTATGGCCAGATCGCTCGTGGAGGTCCACTCGCAGTCGCATCTCGTCACGTCCGTCGATTTTTTGGGTTACGCGTACTACGGAGGACTATTGTACCTCGGCGAGAAGCGGTACCAAGACGCAATAGACTTCTTCCAACTGGCCATCACAGCGCCCGCTATCTCGCTCAGTGCCTTTGTTATTGAGGCGTACAAGAAGCTGCTACTGGTGACTCTTATTTTCAAGGGTGAAGGCGTTATGCTGCCCAAATACACGCCGTTTCTGGCCGTACGTCACGTGGAGAATCACTGCGCTGCATACGCTGATCTGGCCAACGCATTTGTGGTCGAAAGAGACTTGACAGCGGTGCAGGAGGTCGTCACGAAGAACGAAGAGCTGTTTATCCAGGAAGGCAACTTGGGTCTGGTTAAGCAAGTCGTACAGGTATTCAAGCAGCGGAAACTACTTCAACTGAAGCGTACGTACGCCACTATCGAGCTCACGGAGATCGCGACAGCAGCCGGGATGGCCAGTAGCGATGCTGTGGCTGCAGAGAAGATGCTGCTGACGTTGGTCTCGAACGGCCAGATGGACGCTGTCATTGACAAGCAGAAAGCCATGGTGCGCTTTGTGCTCGAGAATCAAGACGGCGGCGCACACCACGAGCAAGTACAGAGCGAGGCGACCAAGAAACTGCAGCAAGAGATGGAGAAGCTCGTGCTGGTCGCGTCACAACTGCGTTTCATGGACGTGGAGCTCGTGACGAGTGCGAAGTTCCAGTCTCGCTTGCAGAAGGACAAGGATCGACGTTCGAGGATCAACATGCACAACCAGCAAAGCGAGGAACGTCTGGAAGGAGCCAGCGGCATGGACACGATGGAGTAAAACGCAAGACCCTGATAATAACTCGGGTGAATGATTGCAACTTTGGAGACAAAAAAAAGTCTATTGCTTACTGCAGGACGAGTGCCAGTTGGATCTTACGTTGACGTACTAACGCCACAGGGTTCTTCATGCGGATGACGCGACATAGAGCAGGGTTGCCGGCGTTGAAGACACGGTAGATACTATACGTGGAGCCGTGGATGGCTGCCTGGTCCAGTTCGTTCATACTGATCTCGAACACTCCCTTCTCCATGGTACGTGTCGACTTGACCTCGATGTATTCCACCACTTTGCCTGCAGATGACAGTGTGAGGTCGTACGGGAGACCAGATTCTTGTTGTTGGTTCACCCACTCGACAGTCATGTTCGACTCCCTCTCAGCATGTTGTTGCGTGAGCTGATTGAACACGTACTCCTCACCCCAACGACCGATAGCTTCTCGCTCCTCCTTTGTCATCGTGTTAGATAACGACAAAGACTGCATTCCTGGGCCAGAAGGAGGCAGCGGCGGGTGGTACGATGCTTGCTCTACACCTCGGTTAACCGGCACTGGTGGGTACGATGGTCTCTGCATGTCATGGCGGTAGTTTGACGACGGCAACGAAGGAACTTGAGCTCCTTGGTAAGGTTGGGTGTATGGCATCTTCGTACAAGCTTCCTCTGCGTCGATCTCGCCATCTTCCATGTCTTCCACAGCGCGTTTATGACCAAGTAAAGACGAGGTAGAGACGCCGACGTCGTCTACTTGAACCCACAGTCTCTCAGCTTCGCTAGCAGGTAATGGAGGTAGAAGCTGCGTCTCCTGTAGCCATTGTTCTCTCATCATTGCATTCGGCTGTAACAAGCCGAGATACAGCAGGTTAGCGACGTTAGAAACCACTTGGACACCGAAAAGCTTCCGACAAAGTTCCATCAACACGGACAAGAGCGCACTCGTTTCCTCTTCTCCCGTCACAGACTGCAGATACAATGTGCTCTTCGCTACATCCAAGAAACATCGAAACTGCACATCAACACGTCGACGAAGACTGAAGGAGCTGCCCACTCGATACACCACTTGAAAGCCGTCGCGTCCATCAACCAGCACACACTGCAGCTCCAACGCCAACGTTGCGATCGCCTCGTGCTCCAACTGATCGTACAAATGTCGGTGATTGTGGAACAGGCATCGCTGAGCCACAGCGAACGCCGTGCGAATCTTCGCATGGAACGCGTCACTCGCTGGATGCATCGAGCTCAGCACACTGACTTCGTACTGCAAGTTCTCCTTCAAAGACTTGAGTCCACATGAGTGCACGAGGAACTTACGTACGCGTGTCGCCTCGCTATTATCTTCACTCGGTACGAAATAGCTCCATGGGAACAGACCAAGCACTTGGAGTTGGTCCTGTCCGAACTGCAGATCTTCCTTGGACAACTCCGTCTGGTCGTTGACGTACAATTCGGAAGCTGAAGTCCACTGCTGCTTATCGATCGTTGGGAAGAGTTCCAAGTGCTGTACACTCGTCCGGAACTCGGAGTCATCCGAAGAGAAGGCGCGCGCCCAGAATTTGACCACAAGCTGACCGAACTTCACTAGTTTCTTCTTGCCTTTCTTGTCCAGCTGACAAGATGTCGCGAAGCTTGCGAGTACTTTACACCACGTCGTTGCATGCGTCTCAAGGTGAGAAGATAACGTCGAGACCTTCGCAAAGCTGAGCAGCGCGTCCAGATCTTCATCGTCGGCAAGAGAGTCAAGCTGCAGCACCTTAATATCCTCCGTACGTCTGCTGCCCTCGTCTGTACACGTCTCCTTGGCTAATGACAGCAACAACTTCTGCAGCTTGCGCTCGCTCTCCGTTGTTGCTTGAATCGGTTGATCCTTCACGCTGCAGAGCACGAGGTCACAACTAGACCCGCTAACACATCGCACTGGTAGCCACGACGTCGCCTTTAATGTCTTCTTGATCTCCTTCAGCTCTGCTTTTGACAGCGACCGCTTCTTCAGCTTCTTCGACAGCACACACAGAAGCGGACGCAGCTTCTTTCTCCACAGTTTAAAGCTCTCGTGTCCACTGCGTTTGGTCGAGAACGTTCCTTGTTGTTCACTGATCTTGTCACACAAGAATGAGACCGACGGCTTGCGTTGTACACCACAGATGTCCGTGAAGAACTCGCACAGTCGCTTTGGATACAACGTCTCCAGAGCCACCAGCTCTCCGTAGTGTGCAGTCGACGACCACACTGCACTCTTCGCGTCGATAAAACGATTCTTCTCTCCAGTGTCAGCCGGGATGAAGATCGCTGTCATCTTCTTAACTTCCGCGCTGCATTCAGTAGATTTCTTACTTTCGTCCCACAAGAACGAGTACAAGCAGGTCACTCGATCAAGATCCAGTGAAGACACCGCAGTTGAGTCAGCTGACAGAACGACAAGCACGTCAGCGACCGTCGCAGTAGACTTCACGCCAAGGATACGTCTGGAGAAATCCTCGTTCTTCCAGACCACAGAGCTGAGCGTAACCATCGCAGGCGTAAACAAGCGAGTGACCGTCTCCGTTGCCAGCCACAGGTCAGTCGAGCGATGGAACTGCGCGTCAGATCCTTCCAACCAACGATATTGTCTCCACAACGCAATAGCATTGTCCTGGTCTTCCGCGTCTGCACTGCTGTCATCATTCGCTCTCCATCTTTTGTCCATATATTGTGCTAGACAAGTCGACATGTTTCGCTTCATTGCAACATCATCCTCGCCTTCAATCCACTGCAGTATTTGCTTCATTCCAGCTTGCGATCGTACATCCGACACAAGACTCGCAGCATCAAACAACATCGGCAAGTGGCAAACATCGACGAGCAGTTTTTGCCACTTTTCATCCACTAAATCCTTGCCGCTATTCGTGTCCATGAAGTAATCTCCTGACACAATAGCAAGCGCGTTGTCGTCTGCTTCCACCTTTGTCTTAATCCACTGAACTAGCGCACCCATTTCTCCATAACTCGATGGCAAGACAACGAACAAAGTGCTGCTTTCCACAGCAACAACACGGCCGCTACTCGTTGCAACAGCCGTGTTCGCCTTCACCTCCGCATGCATCGAGCAGTCTCTACACGTTGCTAAGTGCGAGACAAGGAATCGTCCGTACTCCATCACAGCACCAACGTCCAGCTTATCATCACTGGACGACCGTAGCTCTGTCATCTTCGGGAGAACATGGTGTCGTATCAATTCGTGGTCTTCCATCACGTGAACCCCCACATCCTTCAACAAGAACGTGCGCAGCCTCGTGCTCTTGTTAACTGCCTTCGTAAACGAGTCGTCCAGAATGTGAAGATCGCCGAAAAACGCGTACGAAGTCCCAGATCCAGCACTGTCCTCTGACACAAAAAGCGAGTCATGACAGTCAGCTAGTGACACCCACTTCACGACACCTTCAGCGCTGTCTTTGTGCAGCGGGAAGCACTTGATCAGGCGCAGTTCCTGCCGTAACAAGCTCGAGTGTCGATCTTTGCGCCAAAGTTTCGCAAGCAGTGCCAACACCTTCACCGTCCAGTTAATATCGTTCTTCTCCATCGAAAGCGACAGCACTCGCATCAAGTGAGAAGCGTGAAGCTGCTCAACACGCAGCTGATTCTTCATCGACGTTGTCATGGCTTGGGAGAGCGTAGCATGCAGGAAGCGTTTGTTACCCGTCGAAGCCAGGACGTCTTCACTCAAAGCTTCCAGCAACATAACTGTGCTCTCGCTCGTTCCAGCAAGCTCACTGCAGTCAACTAGCTCCATTGGCTTGTATAATTCACTCGATAAAGACGTCGAAGCCAGCCATTTAAGTTGACGTAGCTCACGCATCATCTCCGGGATGATACTACGGAAAGGAGCTTGCACCTCGCTCTCCAACGGCAATAGTGACAGCAAGTGGGCGATCGCGGCAATTCTGCTCTCATCTGTTGGGAGAGTCGACACGTAGCTGTGTACAGCAGCACGCATCAGCTTGGGGAACTTGGACACCAGCCACTCGTTCCAGTCACTCCCATTCGTGATCGCTTCTCGAGAGCTTGGGATCTCAAAGTCTCCTTGCAGAATAAACCGGAATCCGTAAGAGCGCAGTGGTAAGTAGCAGAAAACCTGCTGAAGTGGGGGTCGATCCCCCTTGAAATCGTCCACAGGGAAAGCAAGCGCGATCTCCGTCGTGTGACTTCGGTGGAACAGCTGCGGCGGCTCGAGTGTCTCCTTGACAACCAGCCACTTCTGTTGCGTCACTTCCACGCTGCTCTCGCTCTTCACTTGCGAGTACAGCTTGACGAGCTTCGAGTTTGTTTGAAGCCTTGTCTCCTTCTTAAGGAAGTGAAGCGAGTGTTGTCGTACTGAATCAAGCAGTCGAAGTTCACGGATACGTCGAAGGAAGAGCAGAACCGACGGCTCGAACGCCATGAGAGACTGCGAGATATCATCCACTCGCTGCACTGACGCGTCATTCAGAGGCAGCACGAACGTCGTGCCTCGACGCTGTCTCCACTGCGTCGTATCATCCAGCCAATATGGCAGGATATAGCCCATCCCAGTCCCGTGATTCGAGTTCTTGGCGTGGAAGCAGATATGAAACCCGTTCGAATGCACCTGCGGGTCGTCCGCGACCTTGAAGACACTCTTAAAGCCGATCCCTTTCTTGCCGATACTCGCTTCCGAGTCCACTGCTGCCTTCGTCGACGCCCCCACGTCACAAATCGCTTGTATATTCGCCCGTGTAAAGCCCTGTTCGTTGTTATAAAACACAATTTCCTTGTCGTTCGTCAGTGTGAACTCGCCCAGAGGAACCACCGCGTCGTCGTAAGTGTTGTCGTCAGCGTTCTGCAGTAACTCGAGAACGAAGTGCGTACTCTCACTGTACAGCTCGTCACTCAGTCGCTTGAGTGCACGTTCCAGACGCTGCTGCTGGATGAGCAACACTGACGTCGTCGCTTCGTCCTGGATCTCGAGACCAACACCAAACTGCTTCTTGCGTAGATCTTCAATAAACGAGCGACAAGAACCCGACGTACTGGTCTCTATCACTGAGACTTCCTCCATCTCTTGGTCAACAGAAAAGCTTGGCACTTCTGCATCTACAGCCTCCAAGACGCTACCAACCACGTCATCGTCTCCACTGTCGGCAACATCAATCGAAGACACAGCCGTCGTCTTACTAACATCACCGTCGATGATAGCTGTCAGATCCTCACGAACAGCACACCATTTCTCCGTCTGGTCCTTCCATAATGACGCTGAGCTGTGACTTGATACGAACACAAGTGCTTTCCGTTCAGCATCACTTGTACACGTCTTCCAGAGTTGATCAGCAACTGCGTACTCGTTCGTACTAACAGACTGACCAAGTACACTAAGTAGCAACGCGACCACAAAGTCCGCGAACTCGACGGGAGTTTCCAGCAGTATTTCCAGTAGAAAGCGCTTGGGATAGTCTCCATGCTTAGCAAAACTGGACAAATAGGCCCGTAGATGAGCTTGAACGAGCTGTTTGGGGAAGTTCGCTTGGCCCTTGCACGTCACGAGCATCGACACCAAGTGGACGGCCACTACACTGGCAGATACGCGCGTCTTCTCTTGTTGTGCTCGAGTCAGTAGCAGCTCCAGATCGGACGGCGTCGACTTCTCATTGACGCGCACTATCGCTCCGTTCACACAGGACACAAACATAAAGTTGCTGGACGGCGCATGATCAAGGAGAATCATTTCATGCACGCGGATAAACGAGAGCAAAGGCCCACACAACGGGGCATAACGCTCTGGCCAATCCATATACAACGATACATCGACCAAGAACGGACAAGTGCGCAGCTTCTCAAGCGCTTGGTCCGTCAAGGTCTTCTGTCCTAACTCACCTGTCTCTTCAACGCTGTCGCTGCCATGATTCAGGTCCAAACTGCCTGCGTACTTGACGATACACGTCTCGTCTCGAGTCTCTGCCAGCTTGACCATCTCTTCGACACTGGGAAGGCCGCTGTCTTGTACAAAAACACGTCCTAGCTCTACTGAAAGCCTGCGTGTAATCCACTGCTGCTGCTTCTCGTTAGAAAGCGAAGACAAAGTCGCAGACGACGAGATCGTAGCACAGCACTCGCGAAGAAATGGCAACACGTCTTCAAGTCGCTTCTCGCTCATCATCTGCGATGCATCCATGCTGTCTCCACTGGGTTCTGACGACTGCAGCAGCTTCTGGAGCCACTTAGCAGCGCTGCTTTCATCGTCCAGGAGCTCAGGCAGTAGCTCTAGTACAGACTGTCGTCCAGCCCACAATACAGCATCGTTCTTCGCAGCAAACTTGCCGATCAAATGCTTCTCTAGAGACGACAGTGTCAGCAACACGTCCTTGGCTGTTTGTGGCTGAGTCTCACATTGCTGGGCGTCCACAAAGCTGTCAGCTTGAGTCTTCACGTCTTCAAGTGTCACGTCCACTTCTTTATTGAGTTTCGCAAACCTGGTAGCGAATGGATCACGTGGCATAACAGGGAAGTCGGGCGTCTTTGTCTCCCCCTGTTCATCTCTATCCTCCTCTTCATCTTCACTCTCAACGTGACACTTGCACGTGCACGAACACGTACACGACTCGTTGCCCACACAGCAGCAATCGCACTCTTCTTTCTCACTGTCGTCGTCTTCCTTCCCTCCACACTCCTCTCCGACAGATTCATCCGGTATCTTGTCATCACTCAACAACAAGGCGTACGTCTTGGCCATTATACTACAGATAACCCACGTCACGACCTTCAGTCTCGAGTGATGTTTACTCTTCTGCGACGACATTAAAAACCGCGTCAACTGGTTGCGCAGCTTCGCGTCCGTCTCTGCAATCTCCTGGGACGAGATGGGTTTCCGGAATTGCTGCTGGTTCTTCATGTCTGCAGCAGCTTTCCGTCGTAGAGCGTTGTCCAGATACACGTCGACGTCCGTGACGCGCTTGAGCATATCCAGCGACAGCGACTGCATGCTCTTGTTGCCTCCCCGTCGCTGCGGTTGACCTTCATTCTCCGACGGTAAATTGCTCTTCTCCAGCAGTTTTTCCAGCGCTCGTTTGCGGTTTTCATCGCTGAATTTCTCCTTTGTCAGACGGAACATTTGCTCGGCAACTTCGCGTTGGAATTGCTGTTCCAGTGTCTTCATCTCCTTCATCTCGTAGTTGGCCACTCGACGCAGCATCCCCACGTAAACTCCGAAGCCGCTGGGGTCAATGGCTACACCCATGGCTTGTGCATTGGGCTGTCTGTATTGCTGCGCTAGAAATTGCAAGAATTCGTTCAGATCGACGTGGGACGACGCTCGGAACGCGTCGTGACCCAGCATTTCCTCGAATTGCCGTAGAAAAGTCAGCACGTCTCTTGTTGTGACGGTCAACATGGCTCTGGGCGAGTGATACAAGTGCTGTACTGCTTCTGTATGTAGAAACGAGTTGCCCAGCTTGAGTTCGTGGAAGGAACGCAGTCCTTCGTGCTGTAGGAAGGCTTGGTGGCACTCAAAGAGCGTGTTGATGCGTCGACTCTGCATGAAACAGGTCACGAACGTCCACACGCGTTGGTTCACTGTGTGCAGTTGTCGTAGTGCGGGTAGTTGCAGCGCGCTCGTGCCCATGAGCTCTTCAAACGCATTGACGTCTGCATTGCGCGAGCATTAGAGCAGAAAAAACAATACCAAAAGCGCTGTCTAAACGTACGGAAATGACTGCAGATAGCGCGCACCACAACGTCAAGTGTTAACGCGTTGGGTGGCGCTGACGGACTCGATTGATTGGCGCGAAAGGCTTCAATGAAGGCGACGACGTCTCTCTGGACTTGTGGGGAAGCTCTGGGATGTTGATGTGAAGGCTGGTAGTAGCCTTGCTGGTTAGACGCGTAGCTCCCGCCTCTTTCTTCGCCATGCTGCTGCTGCTGGAAGCGCTGCCAGTTGCCGCGTCCGCTGCGGCCTCCGCGCATGGCTGCACAATTTAATGATGCGCTGACGGTTGGTGTACACATGAAACCCAATTTAATGGATTCTGGGTATTTTCACTTCGGTATTTTGGGTAAATGTGTCAACATGTCGGAAAAGTGCAATGACCCTGAAAACTCTTTCATAATTTTTTTTACATCCTATCAGCAAAAGTTCGTCAATTCTTGCCGCTGATCTTGCGTTCGTGAACGGAGCAGAACTCTCCGGTAGCCAAAGCAATCTTTGGGCAGTTGCGGTGGCAACACTTTTTCACTGTTTAACAACAGAGCATGTGAGTCAGCAACGTGTTCGGCGAACACTGTTCGCTCCACCGAGTGCAACTTCTGAAAACGTACCACCACCGTGTGCCCAGCATAGTCCGTGTAAGTTTCCTGCGTGTGTGCACCAGCTCACTCGACAAGGAACTTCGCCTTGGTTCTCACCACTAAGCTCGGCTGTCTGCGTCGGCGACATTTCGCTCCACTGTTGCGGTTCAAGCTGTTCAAGTGAACTCCCGCTCGACTCTCCGTTATCCGTGGATATGTCCGTACTCTCCTGCTCTCCATCCTCTTCAAACTCCGCGTCATAGCCGACGTCCTCATTTCCCTGGATGTCTTGTGCCACACCACGGTTCGCAACCACTTGTCTCCGCTCTTCCAGCGGTGGCAAGTCCTGACTGTATTCACTCCTCGGCTGCAAACCATGGAATTGACCCTCGGATGTCAAGAGCGTGTTTACGCGGAGGGGCTGCGTATCGGCTCCGTTGCGTATGGCCACGTGACGTGGCACGTCCCGTTGGTTCTGGCTAACTGTTAAGCTTAAGTGAGAGACTCCACTCCCGTCGTCTCGATTGCCTGCCAATAAACTGTCAGCTCAAGCACACGGCACACCAACAGACCGCTTCGTGTACCTGGCTGCCGCGACATATTTGGACTGCATGATCGCACGCTCATCCGATCTTGCTGCATAGCTCACGCAGCGCAGACTTGCATTTAGTATGTAGCAGCTCTTTCAATGTTGCAACTTTGCCAAGTTCCACTGTTGGAAAATTGAAGGCAAAATGGTTTGGCAACTTTTCATTCTTACCAAAACATTACGTTGAATATTGGCAACTCATACATGCGAAGTCGCGTCTCAGCATGTGGTTGGCAATGGATTTGCCTCTCTTTCTTTGTGTCTGCCTATTCGCTCTTTGTGTCTCTCGCACTCTTCACCTCTAGGTACGCCCACTTGATCCAAGGCAACAACGCCTCAAGATCCTTGGTCTCGACCGTAGCGCCGCACCAGATGCGCAGACCGGGCGGCGCGTCGCGGTACGATCCAATGTCGTACGCCACCTGCTCGCGCTCCAGTAGTGCCTGCATCTGCTTCACTTCGTCCTTGGACAGCCCGTCAATTAGCAGACACACAGACGTGTTGGAGCGGATTGCCTTGTCCTCCGCGAGGAACTTGAACCATCTCGAGTTCTCGGCTGCAAAGTCCTCCACCACCTTCAGATTGCGCTGTGAGATGGCAATCAGACCGTCCTGACCGCCCACGCTTTCCGTCCATCGGAGAGCATCAAGGTAGTCCTCCACACACAACATCGAGGGCGTGTTGATAGTACTACCCTCGAAGATACCCTTTAACAGCTTGCCCGTGCCGGCGTTAGTCATACGGAAGATCTTGGGGATCGGACGGTTCTCCGGCACGAACGACTCGAGTCGTTCCACAGCGCGGGGACTCAAAATGATGACACCATGGCCACCTTCACCTCCAAGCACCTTCTGCCAGCTGAACGTGCACACATCGATCTTGTTCCACGGCATTTCCATGGCGAACGCGGCTGAAGTAGCGTCGTTAAAGATCAGACCCTTGCGGTCGTCCGGGATCCAATCAGCATTGGGAACGCGCACTCCGCTTGTCGTGCCGTTCCACGTGAACAGCACGTCGTGGTCGCAATTCACCTGTGACAAGTCCGGGAGCTGGCCGAACGGCGCACCGAACTCTCTTACGGTGTCAAGCTTGAGCTCCGTAGTAACATCCTTGAACCACTGCTTGCCGAACGACTCCCAGTAGCACACATCCACGGGACGTTCGCCCAGCATGGACCACATGGCCATCTCGAAAGCACCCGTGTCCGAAGCCGGCACGATACCAAGATGGTAATCTTCCGGGAGCTTCAGGATCTTCTTAGTGCGAGCTATAGCCTCTTCCAACAAGCCCTTGCCCAGCTTAGAACGGTGACTACGACCCAGTACAATATCAGGAATCGAAGCCAGTGAGTAACCCGGACGCTTCTTGCATGGTCCCGAGCCGAAGTTCGGCGACGCCGGCTTGACGCGCGGCTTCGGGTGGCGCACAACTGCCACTCCCGCTTCACCGTCGACAGCGTCGGCATTCTCGTCATCATCAGTAACGCTGGGCTTGAGGAATTTCTCCCATACACCACCGGATACAGCCGTGTTCAGCTCAAGCAGGTTCACACGACGAAGGTCCGTCAGCATACCCAGCGCCTCCAGTTCGTCCATAACAACGTCCGGGATGGCTTCGTCCACGTTCAATACGCTGACAGCGGCGGCAGTAGCTTTCTCACGCGCCAAGCCGAAGTTACCGATATTAATCTGGTGCTTCGCCAGGACCGACGTCACCTTGTGCAGCACACCAGGCTGGTCCGTGTTGTTAAAAAGCAGCATGGAGCCACTGGGGATGGCATCCATGGGCAAGTCGTCGAAAGACACAAAGCGCAGCTGACTCTTGCCGAACACGGTACCTGTGATCTTCTTGGACGTGCCGTTCTCCTTCTCAAAAATGACTGTAAGCTGGTCCGAGAAGCTGCTACCCGAGGCCTCGTCGTGCTTGTGCTCCACAGTCTGGATACCCATGACGTCTGCGAGCTGCTTGGCATTTGTGAACGTCACCTCCTCCTCCAGCATGTGTGAGAGCAGACCCTTAAGTACACCCTTGACAAGCTGTCCGGACAGCTCCGACGACGTGACCTTGGGACCCTCAGCAATAACTAGCACGCGCTTGAGACGACTGTCGTCCAGTAGCTGCGCCTGCATGCTGCCAAGTTTTTCAGCCAGTGATAGAAGTGGCATGAACTCCTCACGCTTGCCAAAGTCGATATTCGGCGCGTTAAGCACGCCCTTGAACGACTTGCCGGCCAACGCGTCGTTCACCTTGTACGCCAGGTCGCGCGCCACCTTCTGCTGAGCGTCGGTAGTAAGTGCACCGATGTGGGGCGTCACAATCACGTTCTCGTGGCTCACGAGTTTCTTCCAGACGTCAGAAGCGGGAGACGGCGCCAAGATATCGAAGGCCATGCCCGCGACTTTGCCGCTCTCAATGGCTTCCAGCAGAGCCTGGTGGTCGATCAGACCGGCACGCGCTCCGTTGATTAGCTTGATGCCGTCTTTGCAGAGCGCTAGACGCTGTGCGTTCACGAGGTGTTTGGTATTGGCGTTAAGTGGGACGTGGAGAGAGATGTAGTCGCTGCGAGAGAACAGTTCGTCCAGAGATACAGGTTCAATACCGTGCGCCTTGGCACTACCATTGGACAGGATAGGGTCGTAGCCGACGACATTCATTCCGAAGGCGTTGCAGCGCGTGGCCACCTCACGGCCAATACGGCCGAGTCCTACAATACCTAGCGTCTTGCCGTGGATCTCCGAGTTGCGCACGGCCGCTTCGGACGCGGCGTGGCCGAGGCGTGAGACGGCTGAGATGAGCCCTACCGTGAGCTCCGCGGCCGAGATGGTGTTACCGAACGGCGTGTTCATAACTAGCACGCCCTGCTTGGTGGCGTTCACCATGTCGATGTTGTCCACGCCCGTGCCGGCGCGGCCAATGAGCGTCAGCTTCTGCGCGGCATCCAGCACCACGCGATCCACCTTGGATCCAGAGCGCACGATGAGCACGTCGTAGTCGGGTACTTGTGCCACCAGCTCAGCGTGCGAGAGTGCTGCTGGGACGGCCGTGACCTCGTGGCCGGCGGCGCGTAGAAGTTCGGGACACACGGGATCAATAGGGTCGCTACATAGGACGCGCGCCATGGCTGCCGGCGAGCGGTGGAAGCTGCGGGTAGCCGACGGCGTCTGGATCTGAAGCAAGCGAGACCCGCGCGTCCACAGGGCACGGCGCAGCATGGAATTGAAGAGGAACGAGTGCGAGTGGCGGTCGAGTTCGCAAGTGGTCGGCTGGGAGCTATTGATGATCCATTTGAGGTGAAGCGAGCAAATCTCGAGTTACTTGATGTTTGTAAGAAGCGCATTTGCACTATTTCCACCAATTGCCAAATTCTGTGGCCGTTTTATTGGGGCCTTTTGAGCCAGTCACCATGTTGCGGTGACTCTGAGTAATCTCAAAGATCATGCTTTGAAGTGGTGCATCCAGCGCCATGAGAAATTTACATGTCAGAGACGAGGATGTCAAGTGAGTGGCTAACCTTTTTTCATTTGTAGTTTCGGTGAGTTCTTGGACTTGAGGTCACGGTGATTCACAACCACAGAGAGTGAATGCAAGTACGTCAACGCTTGGGCGAAACGAGAAGCGATACGAATTTAATCCTCATCGATGCTTGAGAGTGGCTACTCGCTTCGAATTCTTTTAGCAGCGCGCGGGGGTCTCCTCAAATCATAAGCTCCGATACCACACAAAGATCGTCAAGGGAGCCCCAAGCCACGCATACAAAGCGCACGATGCGAGGATGATCGCGACCAGCCATCATTTAAGCTTCAGCCAGGAAATCATTCACCTTCGTTCTTTTTTCCCGCATTTCAGAAAATAGCATCTTGATCGAATGTGTTGCTTACAGAGGATCTGGAAGTGTTGTTTGTCGCGCCTGCGACCTTGACTTCCATATGCAAAAGTGAATGAATTAAACAGTATGTTAGCTAGATATCACGGCTGCCTTTTTCCTTGGTATCCAGTAGAGACCCCCCACGAGTCCTACACTCACCGGACACGATCCAGTTCGTAGCCGCTGACACTTCCCCCGTCACGGGTATACAGCCACTTGGAACTCCCTGCGCTGTTCGTCCTGCCTCTCCGCCTCGGCCCGCGGTTGGTTCACGTCGACGAAGTGAGCGGTGAATCCACCGAGGTGTCACAGTCCTCGGTGCATGAAGCTTCAACGTGGCAAGTTAAAGCCACCGTCAACACTTTCCCCCCGGTTTGGTGTGGTGCATCCAGCGCCATGAGAAATTTACTTGTCAGAGACGAGGATGTCAAGTGAGCGGCTAACCTTTTTCCATTTGCAGTTTCGGTGAGTTCTTGAACTTGAGGTCACGGTGATTCACAACCGAAGAGAGTGAATGCAAGTACGTCAACGCTTAGGCGAAACGAGAAGCGATACCAATTTAATCTTCATCGATGGCTTGAGAGTGGCTACTCGCTTAGAATTCTCTTAGTAGTTCTCGGGGGTCTCCTCAAATCATAAGCTCCGATACCACACAAAGATCGTCAAGGGAGCCCCAAGCCACGCATACAAAGCGCACGATGCGAGGATGATCGCGACCAGCCATCATTTAAGCTTCAGCCAGGAAATCATTCACCTTCGTTCTTTTTTCCCGCATTTCAGAAAATAGCATCTTGATCGAATGTGCTGCTTACAGAGGATCTGGAAGTGTTGTTTGTCGCGCCTGCGACCTTGACTTCCATATGCAAAAGTGAATGAATTAAACAGTATGTTAGCTAGATATCACGGCTGCCTTTTTCCTTGGTATCCAGTAGAGACCCCCCACGAGTCCTACACTCACCGGACACGATCCAGTTCGTAGCCGCTGACACTTCCCCCGTCACGAGTATACAGCCACTTGGAACTCCCTGCGCTGTTCGTCCTGCCTCTCCGCCTCGGCCCGCGGTTGGTTCACGTCGACGAAGTGAGCGGTGAATCCACCGAGGTGTCACAGTCCTCGGTGCATAAGAAGCGATAGTAAAGAGAGCGGTGTTGTCTGTGAATGTGGTGATGCGTGTGTATCGCTGGTTGTTTTGTGTGTAGGGCATTTGTGAAATTGTAAGCGCGTTTGTCTGTTTGGAGTGGCCTGA